ACCCCTTTTTCAAGATGTTCAAGAGAGGACTGATTTCAAATCTCTCTCAAATATCAAATCTTTACAGCCAATTCTCCTAGCTCTCTCCTCTGAAAGTATGCTGTGTATCTGACCTGGGTGAGAACAACAGGATTTTGTTGTCTAAGAGTCTGAGGCAATCTGGAGATCCTGACTTGCATCCTAGTGAAAGACAAAGCCAGTACATTCTAGTTATATCCTGAGCAGCAAGAATAAGGCTGGGAACAAAATTTGATCTAGACCCTAAATTACTGTGTCTTGCAACCTCAGAAAGATACTTTCAGCTTACAAAATATTTTAAGAGCAGATGTTATTTTATTTTAAGGGCATTGTCAGTGGACAACTGATATTAGAATTAGCCTGGGCACAGTTAAAATGCAGATTCCTGGACCCTTACTGTATGCATAAGCAATGAGACTCTGGGCGTGGGTCCAGCAATATAAGTTCCCCCAGAGGGTCGGATATATCTTATCTTTTGAGAATTGACTTCTTTAGCCCTCCTCCCTCACCAGGATTTGTTGTCTAAGAATAACTTGCACAAGCTTAGTGGATAGGGTTATCTGCAAACTGTTTTTCTAAATGATCTGTTGAAGGAGTGGCTGAAGATGGATTGTGTAAACAATGGTGAAAGACAAACACAATACCATACTTTTGATGTATCTAATGCTAATCTCTTCCTCCTAAAGAAGTCAACAGATTTAGAGACTTGTTAAGCCTGGTTAAGATGAGCAAGTCCTTAAAATGAGAACTTGAATAAAATAGACAGTCCTATTTCACAGGATTTAAAATAAGTACCACCAAAGGAGAGAGTATTGGGAAATAGATTCTCTCTCATATACTGCTAATGCAATTGTAACTTGGCACTACATTTCTGTCAAGAAATTTGGCAGTATGTATTAGTAACATGAAAAAAATTTTTTTAAAAGATTTATTTACCTATGCATACAAGAACTGAGGTACAGGCCAGAGGTGTGGGGGTGTGCGAGGATTCACCAGAGACAGAGTGGGGAACAGAACAGGTGGATTGACTGAAATACACTGCTGAGGGGAGCAGCGGGCAAGTCAGGAGAGGTCTGCTGCACCATGTGGGTAGCTCCCTGGCCGGCAGAGATCGAACACGTGCTACAGGGGCTATGGACAGCTTCACAGTGCTGTGCTTAACCCCTTGTGCCACCAGGGAGGACCCTACATGAAAAATTTTATAACAGCATTAATCAGTAATTCCCCTTACAGAATCCGTGTTAAGGAAATGAGCTGAAATAATAAAAACAAAACGTTATGCACAAAGTCACCAAAGATTTATTTATAGTAACAAAACACTGGGAAACAGCCTAAATGTTCAATAGTAAGTGAATTATGCACTATCCTATATCAAATATAGCAACACAAGCGTAAAGTAAGACTTCCTAAGGAAAAACTTAGAAGCAAAGAGCAGCACACAGTCCCTAAGCTCTGATTATCTCAAGAGAAGTGTTTCTAGGTGGCTGCACTGAAAAAAGGGCTCCATGAGCTGGGTCTGCCCCTCCGTGGGGGCTCCTAGTTAGAGGAAAACGGGAATGGCAGCAATGAAAGTTGCCAGGTTGGAGGAAAGGTTGTGTTAGGAGAGGTGACCTCTGGAGCTCGGTGAACAAGATCTTGGACTGAGCTGGCCCCTTCCCTGAGCTCACTCTTCCATGACTCCAACAAGGGTAAGAGAGAAAACTATCATCCAAGACATAAAGATTTGTCTCTCCTTGATCTGTTCACTAAGAATAGAAATGGTAAGAAATACTGACAATATCAGGTTTAAAAAAAAAAGGTTACAAAATGATTTATGTGGGATAAGTTAAACTGTATTTTTTCATTTTTTTTTTTTTTTACATTATTGTTCTTTTTGTACAGTAATTGGTTTCTCCCCTCAGGTGTAGTCCCCATAGTTCTCCCACCACCACAGCACCTGTGCACCATGGCTATATTCCCTGTGTTCTTCCTGGCCCTGTTTTGAAACCCCTCCCTTTGCCGCCCTTGCTGTAGGCCTCAGGTCTTTGGTCAGCTTGCTAGTTTCATCTTTTTCTTGACCTTTTGCTTGGTTTCTCTATATTTTGCATATAAATGAGATCATTCTATGTTTATCTTTTTCCTGTTGACTTATTTCAGCTAGTATAATCCCTTCCAGCTCCATCCATATTGTTGCAAATGCAATGAGTTTGTCTTTTTTGATTGCTGAGTAATATTCCATTGTGTAAATATATCTAGGAGTAGAATTGTTGGGTCATATGGTAATTCCATTTTTAATTTTTGAGGAACTGTCACACTATTTACCACAGCAACTGTACTATTTTATGTTCCCACCAATAGTGCACAAAGGCTTAAATTTCTCCACATCCTTACCAAGATGTGCGATTTTCTGTTTGTTTGTTTGTTTTGATAGTGACCATCTTGATGGGTGTGATGCACCCATCTCATTATAATTTTGATTTTGTATTTGCCTACTGAATGTGATGTTGAGAATTTTTTCATGTCCTTATTTGACATTTGTATATCTTCTTTGGAAAATATCTATTCAAGTTCTTTGTCCAGTTTTTAATTGAACTGTTTGGGCTTTTGTTGTTGAGTTTAGTTTTCTATATTCTGGATATTAATCCTAACCAGACATGATTTGCTTTTATTTTCTCCCAGTGTCTTTTTACTCTGTTGGTAGTAACTTTTGGTGCACAAATTTTGTAAATTTTCATTAATTCGATTTGTCTTTTTTTTGTTGTCTGTGCCTTTGGTATAATATCGAAAAACTCATTTCCAAATTCAATATTGTGAAGCTTTTGTCCTGTTTTCTTAGGGGAATTTTATAGGTTACAGTCTTACATCGGGAACTATGATCCATTTTGAGTTAAATTTTGTATGTGATATTAGGTAAGTGGAACTTCATTCCTTTGCCTTTGGATATACACTTTCCCAGCACCACTTGCTAGGGGAAAACAAAACAAAACAAAACAACCTATCCTTTTTCCCATTCAATGATCTTGATAATTTGAGTATATACGCAGGGGTTTATTTCTGGGCTCTCTATTCTAGCTCTTTGGTCTATAAGCCTGTCTGTATGTTGGTATCACACTGTTTTTGAATACTAAGTATTGTTTGCTTTAGTAATAAGTTTTGAAATAAGAGGTGTGGGTCCTTCCAATTTGTCTTCTTTCTCAAGATTGTTTTAGCTGTTTGGGGGTCTCTTAAGAGTCTATGAAATTTAGAATGAAATTTTCTATTTCCCCAAAATATGTCATTGAGATTTTGATAGGAAATTACATTGAAACTGTAGAGTGCTTTGGGTATTATTGACATTCTAACACCATTAAAGCTTCCAACCCATGAACATGGAAAATGTTTCCATTTATTTATGCTTTTAACTTCTTTTAACAATGTTTTGTAGTTTTCATTGTACAAGTCTTTCACCTTGGTTAAATTAATTCATAAGTTTTCTCTTATGTAATGTGAGTGAAATTGTTTTCTTAATTTCCTTTTCAGATTAATTATTACTAGTTTGTAGAAATGCAACTGATTTTTGTATGTTGTTAACTTTGTAAACTACTACTTTGCTAAATACATTTATTAGTTCAACTTTCTTTGTGATTCTCTACATATAAGATTATATCATCTACAAACAGATAACTTTATTCCTTTCATATTTGGATTCATATTTTATTTCTTTTACTTGAGTAATAGATCTATCTAGAACTTCCAATACTATATTGAATAGAAGTGGTGAAGGTGGCCATCTTTGCCTTATTTCTGGTCTTAGAGGAAAAGCTTTTAGTGTTTTACCATTGGGGATGATATTTGCTATGGGATTTGCATATATGACTTTCATTATATTGAGATAGTTTCCTCCAATTCATAGTTGCTGATTTTTTTAGTCATGAAGATTGCTGAGTTTTCTGTCAAATGCTTTTTCTACATCAAGTGAGATGATTTTGCTATTTTTTTCTCTTCACTATTAGTATGGTATATAATAATGATGGAGCTTTATATGTTCAATCATCCTTGTAGTCCAGATTTAATTTCACTTAGTCATGTTGCATACCCTTTAAAAATGCTCCTGAAATCTGTTTTCTACTATTTTGTTGAGGATTTTATATCAAAATTCGTAAGAGATATTGGTCATAGAGATATTATATTCTTCTGTCTTTGTCTCTATTCGGTATCAGGGTAATTCTGGCCTAAAGAATGAGTTGGAAAACATTCGTTCCAATGAATAGCAATCACAAGAGAAGCCAATGAGTTCAGAACTACTCTTCCTATTTAAGAACTTTCATTGCTGATTCAATCAACTTATAAGTTATAGGTATATTCAGATTTTCTGTTTCTTCATGATATGGCTTGGTTAAGTATTGTGTTTCTAGAAAAGATATTGGTCAAACCTCTAAATTCCAATTTTTTGAAGTACAGTTGTTTGCATTATTCTCAGAGTCCTTTGTAATTTTATCCTAAATTACTACTGATTTTAGTACACAGGGTTTTCTTCAGCTTTTCTAATTCCACCTGGACAAAAATTTCTCAATTTACTGACAACCATTTTTTGGTTTTGTTAATTCTTTCTATACGTTTTAAATTCTTAATATGATTGATCACTAATTTTATAATTTCCTTCATTCTTAGCTTCTCAGCCAATGGAAGCATCTTCTCTGATTTCAGTAGCTAAGAGCGCGGGCTCCACTGGAGACACTCAAACAAGCAGCGCCCCCACAACTGGCACATCACCTTCACAGTCCCCAAGTGCACACAGTCCTACAATAACTGTCTCTGCAACTGTCCTTGCAGGTGACACAGCCCCTTCCTCCCCAACAAGTGTCAGCAAGCTTCCCGGGACATCCTCGAAGACCACAACCTCGCCAGCATCAACGGTAACCTCTGTCACCAGCACAGCAGGCACAACACCTCCTGCAACCACAGTTCTCAGTGGAGGCACCTCCACAGACTCACTGTCCACTGGAGCTGGGGTAACGTCAACAATGGCGTCCTCTGGCACCTCATCTCAGCCAACGGCAGTATCTTCTCACACACTGGGGACTGAGATCGTGGGCAGCACCACGGGAGTCACTCAAACCAGTAGTGTCCCCATCGCCGGCACATCAGCTTCACCGTCCACAACTGCACACGGTCCTACCATGAGTGTCTCTGCTTCTTCATCCCCAATCAGTGTCAGCAAGCTTCCTGTGACACCCTCCAAGACTGCAACATCGCCAACAACAACAGCCATCGTTCTCGCCAGCACAGCAGACACAGCACCGCCTATAACTACAATTTTTACTGGCCGCACCTCCACTGTCTTGCCGTCCACAGGAGCAGGGGGACCGACAACAACAGTGTCTTCCAGCATCTCTTCTCAGCCAACAGCAGCATCTCCTCAGACCCCAGGGACCAAAAGTGTCGGAACTACTGGAGTCACTCAAAGCAGCAGCGTCCCCACAGCTGGCACATCAGTATCTCTGTCCGTGAGTGCACAGAGTCCTACCATGAGTGTCTCTTCCAGAACATCCCGTGCAGGTGATACAGCCTCTTCTTCCCCAACCAGTGTCAGCAAGCTTCCCATGATACCCTCCGAGACCACAACCTCGCCAGCATCAACAGCCATTGCTCTCACCAGCGCAGCGGGCACAACAGCTCCTGCAACCACAATTCTTACTGGAGGCACCTCCAGTGTCACGCTGTCCACTGGAGCTGGGGTAACGTCAACAATGGCGTCCTCTGGCACCTCATCTCAGCCAACAGCAGCATCTTCTCACACGCTGGGGACTGAGATCGTGGGCAGCACCACGGGAGTCACTCAAAGCAGCACTGTCCCCACAGCTGGCACATCAGCTTCACTGTCCCCAAGTGCACACATTCCCACCGTGAGTGTCTCTACTGGGACAAGCACTGCAGGTGACACGGCCTCTTCGTCCCTAACCAGTGTCAGCAAGCCTTCCGTGACACCCTCCGAGACTGCAACCTCGCCAAACTCAACAGCCACTTCTGTCACCAGCACAGCGGGCACAGCACCTCCTATAACCACAGTTATTACTGGAGCCACTTCAAGTGTCTCGCTGTCCACTGGAGCAGGGGAACCGACACCAACAGCCTCTTCCAGCATCTCTTCTCAGCCAACAGCAGCATCTTCTCAGATGCCGGCACCAAAAGCGTTGGCACCACTGGAGTCACTCAAAGCAGCACTGTCCCCACAGCTGGCACATCATCTTCACTGTCCCCAAGTGCACACATTCCCACCGTGAGTGTCTCTACGGGGACAAGCACTGCAGGTGACACAGCCTCTTCGTCCCTAACCAGTGTCAGCAAGCTTCCGTGACACCCCTCCGAAAATGCAACCTCGCCAACCTCAACAGCCACCTCTGTCACCAGCACAGCGGGCACAGCACCTCCTATAACCACAGTTATTACTGGAGCTACTTCAAGTGTCTCACTGTCCACTGGAGCAGGGGAACCGACACCAACAGCCTCTCCCAGCATCTCTTCTCAGCCAACAGCAGCATCTTCTCAGATGCCGGACACCAAAAGCGTTGGCACCACTGGAGTCACTCAAAGCAGCACTGCCCCCACAGCTGGCACATCATCTTCACTGTCCCCAAGTGCACACATTCCCACCGTGAGTGTCTCTACTGGGACAAGCACTGCAGGTGACACAGCCTCTTTGTTCTCAACCAGTGTCAGCAAGCCCTCCGTGACACCCTCCGAGACTGCAACCTCGCCAACCTCAACAGCCACTTCTGTCACCAGCACAGCGGGCACAGCACCTCCTATAACCACAGTTATTTCTGGAGCCACTTCAAGTGTCTCGCTGTCCACTGGAGGAGGGGAACCGACAACAACAGCCTCTTCTAGCATCTCTTCTCAGCCAACAGCAGCATCTTCTCAGATGCCGGACACCAAAAGCGTTGGCACCACTGGAGTCACTCAAAGCAGCAGCATCCCCACAGCTGGCACATCAGCTTCACTGTCCCCAAGTGCACACATTCCCACCATGAGTGTCTCAACTGGGACAAGCACTGCAGGTGACACAGCCTCTTTGTTCCCAACCAGTGTCAGCAAGCTTTCCGTGACGCCCTCTGAGACAGCAACCTCACCAGCATCAACAGCCATTGCTCTCACCAGCACAGCGGGCACAACAGCTCCTGCAACCACAGTTCTTACTGGAGGCACCTCCAGTGTCACGCTGTCCACTGGAGCTGGGGTAACGTCAACAATGGCGTCCTCTGGCACCTCATCTCAGCCAATGGCAGCATCTTCTCACACGCCGGGAACTGAGAGCGTGGGCAGCACCACAGGAATCACTCAAAGCAGCACTGTCCCCACAGCTGGCACATCAGCTTCACTGTCCCCAAGTGCACACATTCCCACCGTGAGTGTCTCTACTGGGACAAGCACTGCAGGTGACACGGCCTCTTCGTCCCTAACCAGTGTCAGCAAGCTTCCCGTGACACCCTCCGAGACTGCAACCTCGCCAACCTCAACAGCCACTTCTGTCACCAGCACAGCGGGCACAGCACCTCCTATAACCACAGTTATTACTGGAGCCACTTCAAGTGTCTCGCTGTCCACTGGAGCAGGGGAACCGACACCAACAGCCTCTTCCAGCATCTCTTCTCAGCCAACAGCAGCATCTTCTCAGATGCCGGACACCAAAAGCGTTGGCACCACTGGAGTCACTCAAAGCAGCACTGTCCCCACAGCTGGCACATCATCTTCACTGTCCCCAAGTGCACACATTCCCACCGTGAGTGTCTCTACGGGGACAAGCACTGCAGGTGACACAGCCTCTTCGTCCCTAACCAGTGTCAGCAAGCTTCCCGTGACACCCTCCGAAATTGCAACCTCGCCAACCTCAACAGCCACCTCTGTCACCAGCACAGCGGGCACAGCACCTCCTATAACCACAGTTATTACTGGAGCTACTTCAAGTGTCTCACTGTCCACTGGAGCAGGGGAACCGACACCAACAGCCTCTCCAGCATCTCTTCTCAGCCAACAGCAGCATCTTCTCAGATGCCGGACACCAAAGCGTTGGCACCACTGGAGTCACTCAAAGCAGCACTGCCCCCACAGCTGGCACATCATCTTCACTGTCCCCAAGTGCACACATTCCCACCGTGAGTGTCTCTACTGGGACAAGCACTGCAGGTGACACAGTCTCTTTGTTCTCAACCAGTGTCAGCAAGCCCTCCGTGACACCCTCCGAGACTGCAACCTCGCCAACCTCAACAGCCACCTCTGTCACCAGCACAGCGGGCACAGCACCTCCTATAACCACAGTTATTTCTGGAGCCACTTCAAGTGTCTCGCTGTCCACTGGAGGAGGGGAACCGACAACAACAGCCTCTTCTAGCATCTCTTCTCAGCCAACAGCAGCATCTTCTCAGATGCCGGACACCAAAAGCATTGGCACCACTGGAGTCACTCAAAGCAGCAGCATCCCCACAGCTGGCACATCAGCTTCACTGTCCCCAAGTGCACACATTCCCACCATGAGTGTCTCAACTGGGACAAGCACTGCAGGTGACACAGCCTCTTCGTCCCCAACCAGTGTCAGCAAGCTTCCCGTGACGCCCTCTGAGACAGCAACCTCACCAGCATCAACAGCCATTGCTCTCACCAGCACAGCGGGCACAACAGCTCCTGCAACCACAGTTCTTACTGGAGGCACCTCCAGTGTCACGCTGTCCACTGGAGCTGGGGTAACGTCAACAATGGCGTCCTCTGGCACCTCATCTCAGCCAATGGCAGCATCTTCTCACACGCCGGAACTGAGAGCGTGGGCAGCACCACAGGATCACTCAAAGCAGCACTGTCCCCACAGCTGGCACATCAGCTTCACTGTCCCCAAGTGCACACATTCCCACCGTGAGTGTCTCTACTGGGACAAGCACTGCAGGTGACACGGCCTCTTCGTCCCTAACCAGTGTCAGCAAGCTTCCCGTGACATCCTCTGAGACTGCAACCTCGCCAACCTCAACAGCCACTTCTGTCACCAGCACAGCGGGCACAGCACCTCCTATAACCACAGTTATTACTGGAGCTACTTCAAGTGTCTCACTGTCCACTGGAGCAGGGGAACGACACCAACAGCCTCTCCCAGCATCTCTTCTCAGCCAACAGCAGCATCTTCTCAGATGCCGGGCACCAAAAGCATTGGCACCACTGGAGTCACTCAAAGCAGCACTGCCCCCACAGCTGGCACATCAGCTTCACTGTCCCCAGGTGCACACATTCCCACCGTGAGTGTCTCTACTGGGACAAGCACTGCAGGTGACACAGCCTCTTTGTCCCAACCAGTGTCAGCAAGCCCTCCGTGACACCCTCCGAAATTGCAACCTCGCCAACCTCAACAGCCACTTCTGTCACCAGCACAGCGGGCACAGCACCTCCTATAACCACAGTTATTACTGGAGCCACTTCAAGTGTCTCGCTGTCCACTGGAGCAGGGGAACCGACAACAACAGCCTCTTCCAGCATCTCTTCTCAGCCAACAGCAGCATCTTCTCAGATGCCGGACACCAAAAGCATTGGCACCACTGGAGTCAATCAAAGCAGCAGCATCCCCACAGCTGGAACATCAGCTTCACCGTCCACAAGTGCACACAGTCCTACCGTGAGTGTCTCTACTGAGACAAGCACTGCAGGTGACACAGCCTCTTCGTCCCCAACCAGTGTCAGCAAGCTTTCCGTGACGCCCTCCGAGACAGCAACCTCACCAGCATCAACAGCCATTGCTCTCACCAGCGCAGCGGGCACAACAGCTCCTGCAACCACAGTTCTTGCTGGAGGCACCTCCAGTGTCATGCTGTCCACTGGAGCTGGGGTAACATCAACAATGGCGTCCTCTGGCACCTCATCTCAGCCAACAGCAGCATCTTTTCACACGCCGGGAACTGAGAGCATGGGCAGCACCACAGGAGTCACTCAAAGCAGCACTGCCCCCTCAGCTGGCACATCAGCTTCACTGTCCCCAAGTGTATACATTCCCACCGTGAGTGTCTCTACTGGGACAAGCACTGCAGGTGACACAGCCTCTTCATCCCCAACCAGTGTCAGCAAGCTTCCCGTGACGCCCTCCGAAATTGCAACCTCACCAACCTCAACAGCCACCTCCATCACTAGCACAGCGGGCACAGCACCTCCTATAACCACAGTTATTACTGGAGCCACTTCAAGTGTCTCGCTGTCCACTGGAGCAGGGGAACCGACAACAACAGCCTCTTCCAGCATCTCTTCTCAGCCAACAGCATCATCTTCTCAGATGCCGGGCACCAAAAGCATTGGCACCACTGGAGTCACTCAAAGCAGCACTGCCCCCACAGCTGGCACATCAGCTTCACTGTCCCCAAGTGCACACATTCCCACCATGAGTGTCTCAACTGGGACAAGCACTGCAGGTGACACGGCCTCTTTGTTCCCAACCAGTGTCAGCAAGCCCTCCGTGACACCCTCCGAGATTGCAACCTCGCCAACCTCAACAGCCACTTCTGTCACCAGCACAGCGGGCACAGCACCTCCTATAACCACAGTTATTTCTGGAGCCACTTCAAGTGTCTCGCTGTCCACTGGAGCAGGGGAACCGACAACAACAGCCTCTTCCAGCATCTCTTCTCAGCCAACAGCAGCATCTTCTCAGATGCCAGGCACCAAAAGCATTGGCACCACTGGAGTCACTCAAAGCAGCAGCATCCCCACAGCTGGCACATCAGCTTCACCGTCCACAAGTGCACACAGTCCTACCGTGAGTGTCTCTCTTGAGACATCTCCTGCAGGTGCCACAACCTCCTCATCCCCAACCAGTGTCAGCAAGCTTCCCGTGACACCCTCCAAGACCGCAACCTCACCAACCTCAGTAGTCACCTCCGTCACCAGCACAGCAGACTCAGCACCTCCTGCAACCACAGTTCTTACTGGAGGCACCTCCACTGTCTCACTGTCCACTGGAGTAGGTGCACTGTCAACAACAGTGTCCTCCAGCACCTCATCTCAGCCAACGGCAGCATCTTCTCACATGCCAGGGACCGAGAACGTGGGCACCACAGGAGTCACTAAAAGCAGCACCGTCCCCACAGCTGGCACATCAGCTTCACTGTCTCCAAGTGCACAGAGTCCTACCTTGAGTGTCTCTGTTTCTTCGTCCCCAACCAGTGTCAGCAAGCTTCCCGTGACGCCCTCTGAGACTGCAACCTCACCAGCATCAACAGCCACTTCTGTCACCAGCACAGCGGGCACAGCACTTCCTGCAACCACAGTTCTAACTGGAGGTACCTCCACTGTCTCACTGTCCACTGGAGCTGGAGTAATATCAACAATGGCGTCCTCCAGCACCTCATCTCAGCCAACGGCAGCATCTTCTCAGATGCCGGGGACCGAGAGCGTGGGCAGCACTACAGGAGTCACTCAAACCAGCAGCGTCCCCACAGCTGGCACATCAGCTTCACAGTCCCAAGTGCACATGGTTCTACTGTGAGTGTCTCTTCCTGGACATCCCCTGCAGTTTCCAGAACCTCCTCGTCCCCAACCAGTGTCAGCAAGCTTCCCGTGATACCCTCCGAGACTGCAACCTCGCCGGCATCAACAGCCACCTCTGTCACCAGCACAGCGGGCACAGCATCTCCTGCAACCACGGTTCTCACTGGAGGCACCTCCACTGTCTCGCTGTCCACTGGAGCTGGGGTAACGTCAACAATGGCGTCCTCTGGCACCTCTTCTCAGCCAACGGCAGCATCTTCTCAGATGCCAGGCACCGAGAGCGTGGGCACCACAGGAGTCACTCAAACCAGCACTATCTCCACAGCTGGCACATCAGCTTCACCATCCCCAAGTGCACATGGTCCTACTGTGAGTGTCTCCTCCTGGACATCCCCTGCAAGTGACACAGCCTCTTCGTCCCCAACCAGTGTCAGCAAGCTTCCCGTGACACCCTCCGAGGCCGCAACCTTGCCAACATCAACCCATGGCCCTGCTCCCACCTGGAGTTCCACATCTTTATTTACAGATCATCCCACTCCTCTCCCTGTTACTAGCAGTTTCCCAACATCCACAGCATCCTCAAGCTCTACTCTGACTACTGCCACATCAGGTATGCACGGACTCTTGTGTTGTTTCTCTTGTTATGGCTCCATTGCTTAACTTCTCCTATTGGAGTATTGGAAAAGGCGACAGTTAGTGAGCATTAACAGTATAGGACTTAGGTCTAATATTCAAGCAGATAAATGGTGTGTTAGTGTGCTGTTTGACAGTCTCACCATATTCTGTGACTCAGCAGTCAACTCTTCATCTGCAGTACGTGGCTTGAGATAACCAGAGGAAGTGAGAGAATGTTCAACTATCTCTTGCACTTCCTAACTTGTGGTTCTTTTATCCACTCCTCTGACTCTAAGTCACACTGCAGTTTTCTCTCCCTGAACACTAACATTCACATCTCCCTGAGGGTAGACAGCGAGTTAAGCACAGCAACATCACTTGTCTCAACAACCTCTCAGATCCTTACAACCGCCATTCCCAAAACATCCACGGGTTCCACCTCAATAGCTGCCCCAGTCCCTCTGAAATCTGAGAAAGCTAAATGATGCCACAGGACTGGGATTGAGAGAATTTAGGTAGATGTGTAAATTGTAGTTGTGGTAGCTGTATTTCATCCACCAGTGAGGGCCTTTGTGAATAATTGGGGGAATAACTTCTCGTGGCTGTTGCCACATTGGCCACAGGAAGTTCAGCTCATGTCTCCTTTATCGGGTGATATAACTGAGTGCTCTGTCTCAGTCTACTTGCTCATAGGCTCTGTTCTCTCAGGTCAGAAGAGCCTTATAGGGGACAATAAGACAGTATCAAAGTCGAGTGCTGACGGAGGACTTTGTGCATGACATGGGATTGGAGCTGAAGATATAGACACCATCAAGATGTTGTTCAGTAAATGACAAATCTGCTCTCTCCATCCATGCAATTAGAGGAATAATCCCAGGGAATTAGGTGCTCACAGTGGAAGAGCTCTGGGGATGTGGTGTTGGGTTCAAATGGAAGAGGAGGCTACCTGGAAAGTGTGAATAGGAAACACCCCCAAGCAGTCAGAAGAACCTGCACAGCTGGAATAATATTATGGAAGTCAACAGTAGCCCCAGCATTGTGGGAGGAGGAAACCCCCAAAGAATTTGGGGTTGCTGGACCTCCCTGGTGGTGCAGTGGGTTGAGCGCAGCGCTGTGAAGATGTCCGCAGCCTCTGCAGCGCGGGTTCGATTCCTGGCCGGCCAGGGAGATGCCCACATGATGCCACAGACCTCTCCTGTCTTGCCCGCTGCTCCCCTCAGCAGTGTATTTTGGTCCATCTGCCTGTTCTGCTCCCCGCTCTGACTCTGGTGAATCCTCTCACCCTCCCACGCCTCTGGCCTGTACCCCCGTTCTTGTATAAAAATAAATAAATCTTTAAAAAAAAGAATTTGCTGAAAGTAAGATGTAAAATGGTGAGAAACAAGGTTATCACATGAGGGAACTTTGTAGGTAAAAGGAATCAAGGAGGACACCATTAGATCTACATTTATGAACATAGATATGGTGACTAGGTGGGAGATTAATTTGCAGGAAGCTAAGAAAGAATCATAGACTTCTGTGCAATTCTAAGGGAGACCAGGTCCTACCTGTTTGGGAAGGAGGAAACCCACTTCATAAATGTTTAGGACAGACTTTCTCAAACAAGAAAGAGGTCCTAGGACAAATTGTAAGAGGTCTTCAATTTTATCTAGAGAAATGTGATCTGAGGCGGAAAGTCTCATTCCATCGAATGGTCTTTCAATTACTAATCTGAACTGCATCTGGAGAGTTTTGTCTTCTAACCCTTAAAAATATGATGACTACCATAACAGATGCAGATAATATATTGATATTCTGACAGCAGAACCAGTTTTTCTCCAAACTGGGGAAGGATGAGAGTTCTTTCCTCAGTTCAAGGGCGTTTAAGAGGTGAAATGAGATGAGAGTTTCAGGGGTAAGCTGAAGAGATGGCTTAAATGCCAGAGAGAAAGGAGAGAAAAGAGTCATTCATGATTCCCATTTAGGGGAACAGGACAAGGGTGGAGGAACAGCTTGTGGATGGGGTGCTGCCTGGGCATCCCTTTCAATCCTAATGAAGGTCAGGACTCACAAGAACTTCCTCTTCTTCTCTGTACCCACCCAGGGGTTCCCCTCTTCCTCTATGGATCACATGTTGGAGATCAGAAGTTTGTCAAGAGGACTGTGGACTTCACCTCGATGCTCTTCAGACCCCAGATTGGCTTCCCTCTTGGCTTCTCTCTCAGGGATTTCCTCTATGTGAGTTCTGGGGTACAGCCCAAGTGACAGGACCCATGACCTGCATTCTCTGGATGCTGTTTCTTCCTCAGGGGCTTGGAGGTGGCCCAATGACCATGACTAAGAGAAAGGAGTCTAGAAGAAACACTTGTTCAGAGGAACCATGTCCCTTCTGTCGGTTGGTTTTCATCCATGGTCTTTAATGGTAGGGCATCAGATGAGGAAGACAGGGATCGAAGCAAGTCTTCATACCCACTTAAAATGTCAATCTCATTAAGAGGTCCCAGGGCCTAGTCAGCTCTTGAATGTTCACAGAATCTTTTTATAAGTAGGAAGGTCTATTTGGGAACCTTGACTATTTGATGCATTTGTATTTTCTATAACTGTTTTGGCTCCCTGGTCCAAGTACCCCATATCACCAGGACTGTAAGAGTCCTGGACCCTATCGCTTTCAGTGAGGAGATCTATGTCAGGAAACACTGAGAGGGTGACACAATGGTGGAGGAGGATATTGATCTTTTAGCCCCATCTAACATGGCATCAGCTTCAGAACAGAGCCAAGGAAGTTTACCTAGAGGATTCTGTTCTGTGAAGTTCTGGTCTATAGTTGGACTCTGCCACTGAAATAAGACAAAACCTATGACCTTAGGAAGAACTCAGAACATGAGGGATGTCCTGAGGTAAAGCCTATTTATGTGATAACTATGTAAGAGAGGCTTTTCCAGAAAGCATGGAGATGGATGCAATGACCTTCCAGAGGTTGTTGGCATTTCTAAAGTACCCAGAGACACTCTTGATATCACTTCTGAGGACCTGTCCCAAGGCTGGGACTTCCCTCATTGACTCCGTCCCTGACTACTAACCAGAGTAATCTTTGTGCCCAGTTCACAGATAATGGCCAGATCATTTTCCCAGAGTCAGAGAGCCAGATTTTCTCCTACCCCAACCCTCCCCTCAGAGGTTTCACAGCTGAGGACCCTGTGGCCCTGGTGGCTCCATTTTGGGATGATGCAGATTTTTCCAGCCAACGGGGAACCATATTTTACCAGGTGAGCTTTTCAAAACCTGACATTCAGGAGCTAGTAAAAATGGAGCTAGTAAAAATGAGACAAAGGACTGTGTGGTGGACATATCAAATGTTACTGCTATTAGAGCCCAGGCTCCATGTGGGCAGAAATTGATGCTTAAATATGGGAATTGGAGGGGGAGCAGATTAAGATATAGAATCAGGGATACTCCGCAGGTGATAGGGATGGGGGCTAGCAATCCAGTATTTGATTTTGGAATACAGTTGTAAAGACTATACTTTCAGGGATCATTTCTATAGTTCTTAGAAAATGATTGTAGAGGGGATCTATGATAAGACCCCTAAGTCAAACAACTCTTGCTTGTCCTCCTGGATTGAGTTAGTATCTGCAGTCAGTGGAAGCATATAATGAAAGTTGCTGCAAGTAAATATAGATTGTGCCCTTGCCTGTAGAACTGAAGGATGGAGAAACACATGCCCGTTCTCAAGGAAACTGCTATTACCCAGGGAGAGATAAAAGGGCACAGGTGGTTACATCATTCCAGCTAGTTTGTGCTAAGAGACACGCGAGTTTAAGCCCAGAAGACCCATATTTCTGAGTCTTTTTTTTAAAAGATATATTTATTTATTTATACGAGCATTGGGGTACAGTCAGAAGCACAGGAGGGTGAGAGAATTCACCAGAGCCAGAGCGGAGAGCAGAGCAGGCACACTGACGAAATACACTGCTGAGGGGAGCAGCAGGAGGCAGGAGAGGTCTGTGCACCATGTGGGACCCTCACCTGGCGGCCGGCCGGGGATCAAATCGGTGCTGCAGAGGCTGCGGGTAGCTTCGCAGCCCAGCACTCAACCTCTGCGCCACCCGGGAGGCCCTATTTCTGAGTCTTGACCCTCCACTCCACACACCCCAGGCTTCCCTGAAGCCTGATTTTGAATTGCTCTTAAGATCTGAAGAGCTAACTCTGAAAATGTAAATCTGGGAGAGGGAAGGATGGAAGATAATGGTAGACTAAAGTGAGCAGGATCACCATGAAGAAAGTGTATATGTGGTGGGAGGGGGGGATCCTCAGAGGTGTTGAGCTGGGATCCTCATTTCCTTGTCCTTGTCTGCTTTCCTTTCCTAGGAATATGAGACGCTCTATGATGAGCACTACACACTTGTCCAGCAGGTGGAATCCTGGATTAAAAAATTCACAAACACCTTATACTACAAAGCCAGGTGGACACTAAAGGTCACATGGGTCAATGCCCCTGCCTATCCCGCTCAGCGGCCCATTGGGGTGAGTGGACCAATGGTCAGCTTCCTGTGAAACATCTGGAAATCAGACATCCTAGAACTCTAGGCAGAGGCCACGCTTCTAAATTCCTCTTTGACTCAAGAACAGGCTGCTAATTCTAGCACTCCCTTCCTCACCCACCATGAGACAGCCTGCTTCAGTCCTTTCCTCACACAGCAGAGCACTGCCAGCACTGGCTATTAGGAGGTTGAACCACATGAAATGGAATTTTTGTTGTTCAAATGGCGGGCTACTAACAAGTTTATGTATCACTCAACCTGATATTATTTAAGGATGAGGAAAATGGTGGCTAGGGAGGTTAAACAACTTGCTTCAACTCATCCAGCTAACAAATGATAAAGCCAGGTCTGGAACCAAGGTTTTTCTGACTCCAAACTGATTCCTTTTTTTTTTTTTAATTAAAATAACATTGGTTTACAACATTGTCTATGTTTTAGCAGTACAGGTTCATACATCTTCAAACGTAAGTTACCATACCACTCCAAACTGATTCTTAACCATGTGACAATGCCATCCATGGAAATGGGCACACCACCAATCTCCTTAGACTTCTCTCTCGTGAGTGACAGCTCTTAGAGTCACAGAGTACTTCTTTGTGTCTGGTCTCTAAAGTCACTCATTTTTCACTGATTCAACAAATTCATTGATTATCCACTTTGTATAGGGCAAAGTACTTTGTCACATTCACAGACCCTCCAGTGTCACCTGTTGTGGGTCTGCCACACTACTCGGGTTGAGGTGACACTTAGACAATATCCTTAAATATCCCTAAAGAAGTTGATTCATCCTGCACCCAGCTTTCTAGTGTCTTGGCTAATCTCTCAGACTCCCATACAAACCCTCTTCTAATTGACTCTAACCCAGAGTGCTTTATCTCCCTTCTTTGGAAAGAAATCACAGAGAAGACAAATCCACCAGGATAGGTGTTTTGAAACCCAGGGAGAAAACTGCCCTACATAATCCCAAATTTGTCAGTATTTTAAGCCCATGCCTTTGTTCTGGATAAGCCAGGAAAAGGTGATGTGTGTGCCAGGATGGGGTGTGGGTTGGGTGGTGCGACCTCAGACAGGAGAACCCAAGATACCTGTTCTCAGTCATCCTTGTTTGTCTCCAACCAATTTCCAGACCAACACCTACCAGGCCATCCTCTCCACAGATGGAAGCAGATCCTACGCCCTGTTTCTCTACCAAAGCGGGGGCATGCGGTGGGATGTGACCCAACACCCAGTCAACTCGGTTCTCATGGGTTTCTCCAGGTAGGATGGGGAGGGCTGTGAGTACTCAGTGGATGAAAAAGAAATGATGCAGAGCAGGCTTTTCAGAGCACACACCCATCCACCCAGCAAGAAGAGGTATGAACTCTCCTTTGGACACATCTGACTTACATTGAATCCAATTCTTGCTGTTTCACGTTAAAAGAGAGCCCTACATGCCCTGCCATTCTCTTTCCAATCTCAGCCCCTGTGCATTGTAACAATTTCCAGAACTTTCTCTTCTCTGATTTCCACTGACATAATAGCAACCAACATTTAATACTTGTACTTAAAACACATTCCATTTGATTACCACAACAACCCCAGGAGAGAGATACATATTACCCATTCTATGGATAGGGAAAACTGAGGAAAAAATAGATAGTTGCCCAAAGTCACAGAGCTAGAAAGTGGTAAAGCAAGAATTTGAACCCGGACATCTGAGACTAAAATCTGCCTTCCTGACTCCCTACAGACTGAGAATTAACCCCTTACCAGGGGCCGCCAATAGGTTGTGTGCGGTCAGTAGGAAACCAGAGCAAAGGGATGGGGCTGTGGATGAGGACATGGGTTTCTGTATGCAGCGGTGGCTCACTCTCTGACACAATAGCTCTGGACCACAGTATTTCCAGATGCTGGGATGTGAATCATTGTGACGGTCACATGTAATTGGTTCCTGTGATTACTGCAAATAGTTTTCTCCTAGAGTGTGTTCAGGATTGTCTCTGTAATGACATTGCTTTCACTTGTGAAAGAGAAAGGAGTAGAATTATCCAACTAGCTAGGAATTTCACACTATCCTGCGTGTGCCTAGGGAAGCTGCCACGCCTGTGTGTGTCACCTATTCAGGGTCAGAGAGCAGGAAAGGTCAGGAGTTCCTGCTCTGGGTGCACACCCAGGGGAGGCTCCAGGCTCCACTCAGGATTTCCTCCTTCCTGGAGCAGCACTTTCAACCTGACCCCCACCACCAGTTTCAAAGGATTTACAAGTGTAACTGCATTTAATCTTCAACAATACTGGAAGATAGATGCTACTGCCATCCTCTTTACACAAATGTGAAATTTAAGAATCAAAGAGAAACTAAATTAACCTAAATAACTTGCTTTTGATAACCAAGTTACAATGTCTAGGGATCAGGAATTGAATCTATGACTGTTGAACCCCAAGCCCAGCTTTTAACCATCATGGAGCCTCCTTTCCAGATCCTAATAGAAGGAAAACACACAGGAAGGAGGCCTCAACTCAGGTTTCCATGACCCTGTCTCATGACCAGTTACTTGCAATTAGTGGTGAGATGTGAAACAAATGAGAGCCTCTCCACTCTTGCTCAGTCATCTCTTCCTCTTCCTGCTTAGTACCGGGACTCAGTTGGCCAACTGGTAGCTGACTGAATAATTGATCGACCAAGTAATAGCTAATGACTGACTGAATGAACAACTAAATAACTTGCCAGCTGAGAGGAAAGACCCTGTGTGTGACAGAGCCTTACCATTCTTTCCTTTGCTGGCAGTGGAGATGGATATTTCCAAAACAGCCCCCTGATGTTCCAACCAGTGTGGAAGAAGTATCGTCCAGACCGATTCCTGGATTCCAGCTCAGGTAAAAGTGCCACCTTGCTCCACTTAAACTCGTCTCACGTCCTCTTCTGTCCTCCCCTCCACATGCCATTGACCACGGCAGCTCCTGAACATCTTCATCCTGAACATCACTCAGCACAGTCTGACCTCCTATAGGTATAATCGGAATATGGCACCACCTAGGGAGGAGCTGGCACGGCACCCTCACCAGAGTACAGCAGGTCCTTAAATGACATCTTTTAGTTCCACGTTGTTTTGTTACAATGTTGATGAGAGAGAAATTTGATTCCTGGCTATGTTCACTATCTGCGTGAAGTTTGCACATTCTTCCCACGTCTGTGTGGGTTTTCTCCAAGTACTTGAGATTCTTCCCACATCCCAAAGATAGCCGTGCTAGGCTAATGGGCGCACCTCAGTTGTCCAGTCTGAGTGAGTATGTGGGTGTCCTCTGCAATGCAATGTTGAGGCTTGGTTCCCACCTTGCACCCTGTGCTGCAGGAATAGGCTGCCACCACCTGAGACCTGAACTGGAATAAGCTCATTTTCTTTAAAGCTGCAGTTTCCGGAATGAACTTAAGTGAGGACGCACTGTATAGTCTCAGTGGGGCTATATCTCCTCCTGGGGATAACCCAGGAGGTCTGTTAGTGGGGGGTCCAGATCCTGGATATGAGAGCAGGAGTGTGACCGGAAGTGGGAATATGAATGGGCGGTTAGCACAATACTCCAAGTGTTCTCTCCCAGAGCTGGAATAAGAACCAGATGAGATCACTTCAGGAGATCTACCAAGAGGAGTTGCAGAGGTCTGACATCCATTTAGTCAGCCTTTATGGCGTACCTGCTGTGTGTTGGATGCTGCTAAGAGCCAGGAACACGGGGGTAAAGGAGAAAGACTGACTGTTTTTGCTCTCTCAGAGCTCTCATTATGGCGAGAGGTCAGCACTTTAGTATCAGGAGGCCAACTATGGGCCTCCTCCAACTATGGGTCATCTGAAGGAGATGAAATTACAGTTTCTAAAATGTGATAGAACAAAGGACATTTGCGCATTAGAAATCAGCCATGTGAAGCGTGACACGCAAAATCGCTTGTTTGTTCTGTGATGTGAACATTGTTACATACAAGCTAAATCAAATCATGGGCGCCATCTTGTGGCAAGAGCCGCCCTGTCAGACTAGGGCCTTTCTGTCAAGATGTTCAAAATGTGTCTGTTGTTGATTTGGGGCTGCGTTATGGGGGGTGTGTGTGTGTGTGTTTGTGTGTTTATGTGTGCACACGCATTTAGGAAAAGTAATGCTAGGCCATTGTGGAAAAGATACATAAATAGGTAATCATGAAAATGATTGTTTTTTTCAAAACCTTAATATTAATAGATGGCAGCTATCATGATCATTCTCTTGTGTAGGTACAGGGTCAAAATCTAATACACTCTGCCCTGTTATATCTTGTTGGCCTCTGGGAGCCCCCTTCTCACTCACGGCAACTGAGGCGGGCAGTATATAATGTATAATTTTTTTTTTTTTAAGCATGTTTTATTTATTTATTTATTTGTTTGTTTGTTTGTTTATACATGCACTGGGTACAGTCAGAAGCACGGGAGGGTGAGAGAATTCACCAGAGCCAGAGCGGGGAGCAGAGCAGGCAGAAGGACCGAAGTATACCGCTGAGGGGAGCAGTGGGTGGCAGGAGAGGTCTGCGCGCCATGTGGGACCCTCCTCCGGTGGCCGGGGAGCAGCCGGGGATCGAACCGGTGCTTCAGAGGCCACGGGCAGCCTCGCAACCCAGCGCTCAACCGCTGCGCCACTGGGGAGGCCCTATAATGTATAATTAATTAAAGATCTATTTAAAGTTCAAGACCCCATCAAGGTTTCGTCTCCTAATTACTTCTCCCTTCCAAAGAAACCATCTGGGCACCGAGGACCCTCCCTCAGACCTGTGGTGTAGAAACAAGTCCCTGCTCTCTGTGCCAGCTTCTCTGTGGCTCCCCAGCCAGTCTCTGGGCTGTAGCATCTGTTCTAGCTGTTTTCGCCACTGACATGTCTGTGCTGGAGGAGAGATGAAGGTCAAGTGTCTGAGCAGGTGCTAGTGGAATCACTGACTGACACTTAGGGTGCATGAGGAGGAAGTGGTTTGGGGGGAGTAAACAATGTTAGTTTAGAAAGAACAGGAAGGTGGAGGATGGGATAGAATGAAGATCAGGGATAGGGTCTGGCTCTGAGTTAGATGCAGGTGAGGCCTCCCTACCCAGGGTGAGGCCCCTCCTTGGCCCAGGGTTACACCCTCAGACCCAAGCTTTGAAGACTTTTGGAGGTGACATCAAAGGTCCTTTTAGGGCAGAATCCCTGACAATTTGAATTGGGTCCCACCCATGAAAGAGCTATCTGGAAGGTGGGAGAGGACATCCAAAGAGTTGTCCTTAAAGTTAAAACATCATCTGTGGTTCCAGGCCCTGTGATAACCCCTTCTTCCTTTGCTCCTGCAGGCCTTCAGGGACTGCAGTTCTATAGGCTACATGGGAAAGAAATACCCAACTACCGACTCAGGTGCTTGCAGCAGTTGAAGAGAGAGCCTCAGTGGCCCACCTGGGGCTGGAACCAGATCTCCTGTCCTTGCTCCTGGCAACAGGGACGTTGGGACTTACGATTCCAGCCAAGAGGTGATACCTCTTTCCTGTCTCTCAGGGGATCCCCATTCACCGCCACAATTCCCCTCACCATTCCTCTGGTCACACCAGGACTTTTGGGACCTCCTCAGAAACATCCCCACCCTGTTCCTGCCCCCAGTATCCCCCAGGCATCCTGGGCCTGAGTATATCTGGATTTGTTGCAGGCTGGTGGGGCCTCCAAGGCAGGCAGCTGTGTAGCTTCTCTTCCTGGCGCGGGGGCGTGTGCTGCAGCTATGGGCCCTGGGGAGAGCTTCTGCAAGGCTGGAGAGTGCAGAGCCCGTGGCAGCTTGGTAAGTGTGTTCATAGAAATCTCAATCACACTTTCTCTAGATTTCTCTGCTCTTCCTTGTCGGAGACCAGCCCCAAGCTCCAAGCAGAGCAGTAGGGCCCTTAGAATGAAGCCTCTTGTCCTCGTTCCCTCCCAGCTCCTTACCCTCTCTGATCCTTAATTTCCTTATCTTTAACCTTAGGATGTTTTTGATGTCCCTTACAGCTGCTATCCTAGAGATTTATGATTGAGTACAGCTCACTGCATCTCCACTTGGCCCTGTAGCCCCAGCCCAGAATGGGATCACCTTTCCAGGGAAAGGGATGGGGCCACTCTGACGCTTTTCCTCTGAACCCACATTAGCAGGTTATCTCCCTCCAGAGACGCCCTTCATATGAGCTAGAAAAACGGAGTTGGGAGGCTGTGGTAACATGTGTCCACCTGCCCTTCTCCCTGTAATCGCTCCCTGTAATCACTGCAGCCTCCATAATCCCCAGACCATCAGCGTCTCCCTCAGGCTCTCAGCACTTTGAAAGCAGGGGTCTCAGCACCCCACTCGACACCGGGGGCTTTGCTGCGCAGGGCTCCAACATGACTGCAAGGGCAACAATGAGTGGTCAATCCCCAAGGTCATTGGGCAGGTGAGATCTGAGCTGAGGTTGCCCTGATTCCAAACCATGCACTTGCTACCTCTCTTCCCACCCTACCAAACCTTTCAGCTGGCCTCTGCAGCTCCTCTACCTTCCCAACATGCTGCTGTTCTCCATAGATCAAGAACTGGAGTTGCAGAACTGGTGCTGCAGCTGGAACGACAAGCCCTCCTTCTGTGCCCTGTACCAGAAACTGCGGCCACGTGTCACCTGTGCTGGGTACCGGCCCCTGCGGCCTGGTGAGGCACTTGGGCCCACCGCAGGGCAGGGCCGGGACAGAGTATCTGGGGAGGGTTAGCCTCTTAGGGCCTGGGCAGGGCATCTCCAGCTTCCTGGGGCAGGGCTATCTCCACAAGGAAGATGGAGGTGGTTCCCGTGTGAGGCTGATGGCAACGTGAAGGGCATTGCAGTGGTGCACACTTGTGCATGAGGGCTTCCAGGGGGAGTTCTTATATTCCATGAACATATGTCCAAGCTTGAGTCTACCCTGGCAAATTCCTCCTGGGGGACAGACCCTACCCTGGTCTGCCATGCCAATGTGGTATCTCCTTTTTTCCAGCCTGGATGTTTGGGGATCCCCACATCACCACCTTCGATGGCAGCAACTTCACTTTTAATGGGCTGGGGGACTTCCTGCTGGTCCAGGCCCAAGGCAGAAACTCCTCCTTCCTGCTGCAAGGCCGCACAGCCCAGACCGGCTCCGCCCAGGCCACCAACTTCATTGCCTTTGCTGCTCAATACAACTCCAGCAACCTGGAGGACTCCATAACGGTGAGGCAGGAAGTGCCAAGATATCCATGTTCCCCTCACTGAGAGCTGACGGTGGTCCAAGAGAAGAGAAGGAAGAGAGAAGGGAAGGGAGGGGAGGCAGGACAAAAGACACTTTTGCCAGTGTAAGCGGCTCCAGAGCCACCTTTAGAGACAGCAGGATTAGGTGCCCGGCTCCACCAAGTGTGGGATTAAAGAAATGACCTCACTCTAGTGCCTTATTTGTTTGCTTGTTTGTTTGTTTCAGTAATATGGGAATAATAATATGACTTACCTGCCAGGCCTGCTGTAAGATCTAAGTAACATCACCTAAGAAATGTGCCTAATTTGGAGCCTGGCCCGTGCTAAGCACGCCGTGGACATCAGCTCATATCACCTCATCATCACACTCTCTATCACCTTCCCATTTGTGCAGGGCTCAGGAGCTAAGCTCTCTGGAGCCTCCTTTCTGGCCTCTTGGCCTATGTAGCTTGGGCTTAGGTTTCCTCCAATTTCCTTTCAGGTTCGATGGCTCCTGGAGCCCAATGACAAAATCCTTGTGTTGCTCAACAACCAGACTGTGAGATTCAAGACTAACCAGGAAGATGCAGAAGGTAGCCACCAGCCACTTCCACTTTCTTCCCTGGGCCAGGGCTCAGTGGGCCCCCCCGTACCCGGGAACAGTGTGCTGGGCTTGGAAGCAGCAGCCCCGGGCAGAGGAGCAGGTCACCACCCCAGCTGTCTCTTCAGTAGCCTCTTCACCCGGGGCCAGGCATTAAACTTTCCTTCCTCACTTCTCTCCTTCCCCCAGTGCTGTTGTTATAGGACAGGGAGAGGGGCAGCCCAAACCCCGCTAACCTGCCTATTCTAAATGGGTTCTGCCATCCGCCACATCAACACAAAACATATGAGACTTTAATGGGAAGGAACTTTAATAAAACTAGGAAACAATACAGGTAAGGCAAAGAGTCTAGTTTCTAAATGAAGCACCCAAAGTTACCCGTCCCCTCGTGGGTAAAACTCCATCCAAATGGGATTGGCCCAGAGCAAGGCCCCAAAGCCTGCCACAAGTCTAAAGCATCTTCCAGTAGAGACCCACAGAAAAGGGTCAGAAACAACCAGACAAGCCCAGAAGGAAAAGAGCAAAATCAACATCAAGATAAAAGCTGCCATTGTCACCTCCCCACGGGTCTCACCCACATCTGTGTCACCCAGTCCACGACCAAAAGACAAGCGCAGTTTCTTCACGTGTCTCTAGGCTCCATGCGCCTCCTCCAGGTCTCCTGGCTCCATCCTGCTTCCTTCCTCAGTCTCTTCTGCAGCTTCTCCTCTTTCTGCTCAGCTCCACCCTCCCTTGGGTGGGGCAGGGAACCTCCCCCTTTCCTGGGGACCACCCTGTTACAATCCCCCCTTTTAATTTTTATTCCACCATATCCCTTACACTGTGACAGCCTCTATGGTAGCGCCTGCCATCAGTCTCAGGCAGAGGGGAGAGCAGCGGGACTTGCAGGGTCCTTTGTTTGGTTTTTGTTTACAGGAGATGTCCCCGGGGCATCCCAGAGCTGCTCTCATCTCTTGCACCTTGAACATTCGCCACTACCAAGTCTTGGCTCCCAAGCTTCCGATGTTAATTTCTTTCTCTTCTTGTATCCCAATGTTCTAGGGCTGGAGATATTCAATAGCACGGGAATCACCATGACCCACAATGGTTCCCTGGTATCAGCCAGTTTCGATGGGACAACAACCATCTCAGTGATGGCTCTCTCCAACATCCTCTATGCCTCCTGCAGCCTCCCAGAGGATTATCAAAACCACACTGAGGGTCTTCTGGGTAAGAAACAAGCAGGACCCTACTTCTAAGGCAGCATCCACAGCAGGAGCCCAGCCCCTACCCTCCCCCCCACCCCCAGGCTACCAGACTGCAAGAAGTACCCTTCCCACTGGCCCGCAACATCCTGGGCTGAGTTTCCCTTTCTCAGGCCCCTTGGAGCCCAACCTGAGAGTGAGTACTGAGAAGGAGAGCAGCAGGGACCACTTCTGCTACCTGTGATGCTCATTTCCTGTCCTCCTCTTAAAGCTGCAGTCCCAGTTGGGCTCCTGGGCAGCCTAGAGGATTTGGGGGTTGGGCTGGGGAGGGTAGGCCCTTCCCCACCCATCAGCTTCACACCTTCCCACCCCTCCCCATAATCCCTCCCCCCATTTTTCTTCCCTTAGCCTTGCACCCCACATTCCCTCCCTTCTTTCTCCATTTCCTCCTCCATTTTCTTCTCCTACTTCACTGAAGCAAAAGGGCAGGCTCTGAGGTTCTGGTTCTCCTCCCTCCTCCTGGCAGAGTGAACCAAAAACAAATGCAAGTAAGAGGTTTCCCAGCCCCTCCCCCCTCCTCCTTATAGCTTGAGTGTGACCCCTTGAATAACCCCCAGGGAAGGGGAGGGCAAAACAGTCCCAAAGTGGCTGACCTCCTACTCCATCCCTCCAGGGGTCTGGAATAAGGATCCAGAGGATGACTTCAAGATGCCCGATGGCTCCATCATCCCCCGAAAGAGCTCTGAGGAAATGCTTTTCCACTATGGAATGACCTGTGAGTCTGGGCTTGAGTCCTTGGGCCTTTTAGGAGAGGGCTAGGATGAGGGAAGCTGCAGTTACTGCCTCCCTCAGACCTGGAGGAACCAGACCTCCATCCTTTGTGGGATGAAAGGGAAAGATCAGGAGATGCTGAGGATCCCGGTGACACCCAGATTTGTCCCCACCAGCGCACCTGTGTCTCTGCACCTGGAAGAGAGAGTGAAGGAAATGAGTGGACCTCCCTTCCTGGAACAGGGAGTTCCCCTCCAAGCCTCCACTCCCTTTTCCCCTACGCTGAGCCATAGAAACTAAGGGGTGGACCCAGCAGAAATTCAGCTGGAGCCTCTCCTCTGGCACCGCCACCATAGCATCTTGTGTGTTGTAGGGACAATCAATGGGACAAGCCTCCTTGGCAAGAGGGATGACCATCTGCCTGCCAACTTCACCCCTGTCTTCTTTTCCCAACTGTGGGCAAATACATCCTTGAATAAAAGTTTGGTTTCTGGGTGTAAAGAAGACAGAGCGTGCATGTACGACACCCTGGCCACAGGAAGCAGAAGCACTGGCCTGCACACTGCCATGCTCTTGAGAAGCTACCAGCTGATGAACCTCACCATCAGTAAGTGAGAGGAGGCCCAGGGAGGTGTTTGCAGGGCTAGGGGGCATATGAGGACACCCCCTTCTGTTACTCTCCTTTAAGTCACATATTTTAAAATTTAACAAATTCTTTTGCTTATGTTACTCCTCTGCTCAAAACTTCCCATGACTCTCCTGCTCACTAGGTCCTTCTGATGACCTTCTGATGACCTTCAAAGCCCTATTCAGCCTAATCTATTTCCTCTGGATGCCTTGCTCCTAGTACTCCGGCTTCAGTCCCTCCACTCCAGCCCCACTGGCTTTGTGTTCTTCAAACACACCAGTCTCACTCCCAACTCAAGACACAGTACATGCTGTTCTCTCCCTTGAGCACCCCTCCCCCAAAGGGCCCACAGGCTCGCCCTCACCCCCTTCAAGTCTTTATTCAAATGTCACCTTTTCAGTAACTCTGAGAACTTGGCTACTCTGTGTAAAATGTTACATTCACCCACACTTCTTATTTGCCTTCCTTGGTTATTTTTTTCTCCTTAGCACATATGGTAATCATATGTATATGGATAAGACAATACATATGCTAATATAATTTTCATAGGTGTCTTTGTTATTATTTGTTCACTGGTGTATCCTCACTACCTGTAATAGTGAAAGGCATCTAGTAGGTGCTTAGTAGATTTAAGTGACTAAAGGAATGAAGAAAGAATGTAATGGAAATATGCGGGCCCCTAAAGCAGACCCTTGAAAAAGTTCACTCTCTCTCTGTTCTCTGACAAACTGCAATGCCCATCTAGGTATTACGCTCCTGGCTTTCCATCCTCTTCCAAAGGTAAAACTCCATGATGGTCGAAAGGACCCTGTTCTCTGGCCCACATTGCCATACCCAGCAGAGCACTTTGTTCAGGAAAGAACTTTGAATGAAGGCTGTTTGGAGAGGAAATAGAGAAATAGAGGGTAAAGATTGGGCCAGGTGGGCAGTACAAATCCAGCCTGCTCTGTACAGGTCCGAGCAGGTACACAGAGAATAATTCCAGCATTTAAATGTGGGTCACAGCCCTGAGAATGCCTCACAAGGGTCAGAGGACCAGCGAGCAGGCCTATAAGGCAAGAGAGTATCCCACCTCACACCCGGATTCATCTTTGTGTTTCAGATCAGTCCCCGCCCTCTATCGATGGTCCCCATGAGGTGGAAGCCTACTGGGGGCAGCCCAAGCTGGTTCAGTACACCAGCAGCTCTGAGGACCACACGTTCATTCTCCGAAACGACTGTGCTGACTTCCAGCTATTTGGTAAAAATGTTTGCTGCGGGCCCTGGGGATAAGGTCAGAGTCAAGCTTTGGATGATTTTACAATTCCGTACCTTGTCCACATCCTGTCACTTCTCCATTTCGCAACCCAGGACCAGCATTTTTCTAGGAATGATTCTTATAGTTCAAACAAGGGCTCCTCCTGCCCCTTCAGATTTTGTGACAGACTTAAGGCAAATTGGCAGGCCAGCTAGACTGACCCCGGGCAGTTGACTGATTCAAAGATGTTTCATCTCAGTCAAATAATATGAAATCATCTTTACCAATCACCCAGTTATTAGATTAATTAAGTTTAACAATGAACAAATACTCATTTAAAAAATCACATCTATTAGAAGGCTGTCACCTTCTAATACAGAGCGAGATGTGAAGAAATACAAATACCGTTGACACCTCTCTCACTACTTTTGTCTGTCAACATTTCCTAACTATCTCTCCCTGTCTGTGTTGCTATGCTGGGATCAAGCAAAGCTTCATCCTCTCAGCACTGTTGGTAGAGACACCCAGCCCTGTCAGAGGTACAGATTCAAAGCCCACAGGATGCAGCTTGCCTTCTGCTGCCAACACGAAGGATGCTGTGATGAAGCCAAAATCTTTAGGGGCCTTATTCTGAGCTCTGATAACTTCTCTGCCTGTGTTCCTTCTCTGTGAAGAAGAGGGGCCTGCTTTGTCTCCACCCTTTGCTCCACAGACATCCTTCCAGGTGTCAAAAAAAAAAAAAAAAAAAAAGGCATTAGGGGTCTCCCCAGTGGCACAGCAGCTTGAGCGCAGCACTGTGAAGCTATCCACAGCCTCTGTGGCGCAGGATCAATCCCCGGCCGGCCAGGGAGCAACCCACATGGCGCAGCAGACCTCTCCTGTCTTGCCTGCTGCTCCCCCCAGCAGTGTACTTTGGTCAATGTGCCTGTTCTGTTCCCCACTCTGTCTCTGGTGAATCTTCTTACCCCCCGCACCTCTGGCCTGTACCCCAGCTCTTGTATAAATAAATAAATCTTTTAAAAAAAAAAAGGCATCAGGAGATTTTCACCTCTCCCGAGGAGGGATGGCCTGGAAATGATACATGTTTGTTCCCTACTCTCAGCTCCTTTCAACCTGCTATTTAATTAGTTTATTTATTTAGTGGTTCTTATTTTTATGTTATAAATTTATTTATTTTCTTACACCCCTTGGTGTAGTCCCCATAGTTCTCCCACCACCAAAGCACCTGTGAACCATCACCACAGTCCTTTGTGCGCTTCTCTCCTCTGTTTTGACCCTTCTCTCTCCCCCTCCCCTGCTGGATTCCTCAGCTCTGTGGTCAGCTTGCAGTCAACTGGCTATTTTAAGGAGACTTTCTTGTTTTCTCGAAAAACGTAAGACAGGTCTGATCATAAGAGTCCTTATTCACTGCAGGCTAGTGTCTGAAAGGGTGGTTGGTCAAAAGTCCATGAAGAGAGGGGGTGGACGAGAAATCAGGGCAAGGCACGGGGCTGCTGTGAAGGTGAAGCCAGTCTGGCCTGTGGTGTAGCCTGGGAAGTGTCGGGAGGGTCTTGGCTTCCATCCTCCCAGGATGTGCCATCCTGGCTCAGTTCCAAGCAGGGTCGGCCTTTGGGGTCTCTTCAAGGAGAAAGTGCCTACCCCTCTCTGGAGTTCCCTTTAACAACCAACTGGGCCAGTTGTAGCTGGGCTGGTGCTACCTCCAACTTACAGTGTGACCAGGATTGCTTTGAAAAACCAGCTTGACTCAAGGAAATGCCTGATGAAATTTGGTGGAGGAGGCAGGAGGGGTCTGAGAGGTGTCCAGCATCAGAACTCAGGATGTTAAATGCCAGGGTAAACCAACAGCAGATTATTCTTTCTCAACAATCTCATTTTCCCTGGGACAGAAAACGGGACATTGCTATGGACACCAAACTTGCTGAAACCCTGTACTCCGGAGATTCTAGTAAGAAATCTCAAGAACGACTGGGCATCTATGCTCCAACCAAAGATGGTGGTCTGCACTTGCAAGGCAGCGAGCCAATGTTTATACAACCAGACCAGCAGGATAGGCAATTCCTCCCTCGAGGTGAGTGCTGAGAGGAGAGTGGGAAGAAAGTTCCTGTATTAAGGCGGAAAGATGTGGGATTTGAAGGGATGTCTTAGCTCTGCCCCGCCTGGGTAGTGTGTGTTGGGAGAGAGTGGGCCTGGGGTGAGGAGAGCAGATACTGATCTCGGGCCATCTTATGTCTTATACGTGTAAGACATAAAATCCCTTTACTGCTTACAGCTCCCCTGAGTTTTTATCTCCCACTTCCCATCTTTGCAGACTGGCAGGAGGCCTCCATCTTAACCTTTCTTAGAGTTCCCAAGAGGTTCCCAGTTCCCAGTGCTGGAATACGACATTGAGGTGTAGGGTGGCAAGAGAGCTGTGTGGTCCCTGGGCATGAGCCTACACAGATCACAGCTCTATGCACGCTCCGCTTCAGACCCAAGGATGTGCCCTGTGCCTTCTGTGCTTGCTGAGACACAGGAAACCTTTTACAAAGCTGCTTAAGCTTCCGTGTGCCTAGAAGCACTGCACAGCCATTTCTCCCCAGAGTCTCTTCCTCATGGTACTGGGAAGACAAGTGCAGGCTCCCCCAGACTCCCCTACCCTGCCTCCAAAGCCCTTTGTTTTCTCTTTTACTCTCTCTTTCTAGTTAGAAGAAACCTATCTTTTTCAGTCTGTTGAAAGTCTTCTGCATTCAAGTTTTTAGTCAAGATGCTTGGCCTGAGTCCATTTGATTTCCCCCCTTTCTTGGTTGTAAAGGGAGATTGTAATGGAAAGGGGGATCAGGAAGGAATAGGGTGGCAACATCCCACCAATCCCTCAGTCCCTCTTCCCTTCCTTGTACATATACTCTTCTGCTAAAGCATGAGCAGCCGAAGATTTGGGGGAGCTTAGGGAGATGAGAAGGGAAAATAATACAGAGTGGGGAAAACAGATTAAAATCAACATATTCTTGGGCCTTCCTGGTGGCACAAGGGCTTAAGACGCAACCTATAAAGCTGTCCGCAGCCACTGCAGCACAAGTTTGATCCCCGGCCAGGAGCTACCCACATGGCGCAGCAGACCTCTCCTGTCTTGCCCGCTGCTCCCCTCAGCAGTGTATTTCAGTCAGCCTGCCTGTTCTGTTCCCCACTCTGTCTCTGGTGAATCCTCTCACCCCCTACACTTCTGGCCTGTACCCCAGTTCTTGAATGCATAAATAAATAAATAAATAAATAAATAAATCTTTTAAAAAATTAAAAATAAAATCAATGTATTCTAAATATCCCAAAATATCCACTTTGGAAATAGAAAATGTTGGGCGTTTCCATTTTAGGGAGTTTTCCAGAGTCACCTCAGTAGGGGAATCAGAAAAGAGAGACCAGGGAATTTATGAGGTTTCCAGAACCCTGCCCTTCCTGGTGCCATTATTCTGGTTACAGTGTGTTTCCTCTGTGCTCACCTAGTCTTCTTGGCTTAGGAGTCAGCAAAGGCAGGCAGATCAGAGAACAACAGCCTATGTGGGATCCAGTTTTCAAGGGATGGTAGAATATTATTTATTTAGTCCCTGTCTGACTCTAAAAGGATTTTAAGCAAGGGAATACAGTGTGAGATGGAAAGAGAGGTCCTGGGGCAGGATTGAGGAAGGGGGCCAGGTGGGCTGGAGGATGGTGTGCCTTTAGGCAGGGAAGTGCAAGGGCTGGTCAAGATGGTACAGGCTGGCAGAATTAATACAAGTGTCCAGGGTCCATGAGTTCTCAGGCCAGAAGGGTCATAGGAAGCACCCAGAAGCACCCTTAATAACGAGCCTTCTGGCTGCCCAGTGATCAGTAACCCATTTCAGGAGGCTGACTGCAAGTGTGACGGAAACACATTCGGCCCCAACTGCCAACATACCAAGGACTTGTGTGAGGAGCCGTGCTTCCCTAATGTGACGTGCACTCCAGGGGAGGGCTGTGAGGCCTGTCCTCTGAACATGACTGGGGATGGGCGCCACTGTACAGGTGAGGAGGGAACAGAAGGAATTTCTGGGGACCTTGGCAGAAGGAAGTTCTGGGAACAGGTGATAACCTCAAGCATCTAGGACAACCAAGGGCAAACAATTTCTCTCCCTGAAGACACTGATGAGGAAAAATCCAGAGCAGTATAGACTGAAGATGGTCTGGAGAAGGAGAAGCCAGGGAACCAGAGAGAGCTGAGGATCTCAGACTCCTCAGAGATCTGCAGAGATGCAAAGCCCAGGCTCTCTGCCTCTCCCCTGTCAGGACATTTGCAGGGGCTGCCGTAAGCATTGGGTAGCATTGGGTAGCCGGGGTGCCTCATTTTCCCTTTATCCTCCTCCCAGCATCAGTTCCTCAACCTCTGAGTCACTGGAGTCCTGATAAGAGGCCAGTGAGGTCTCCACCAAGTCCCCTTAGAAGTCCAAATGAAATACAGAGACCGCTGTGTCTTCCAAGCAGAGGCCAGAATGGGGAAAGCCACCATCTTGTAAAGGCAGAGATCAGAGTGAAGTGAGAAAAGCAGGGTCCTTCTTCCACCAGGCTCTGGGTCCTTTCCTGATGTAGAGGGCCTGGCGGAGGAAAGGGGCTGTCTGGCAGAGAAATGCCTGGGGAAAGGAAAAGGATAGTTTGGGGTTCATAAGTAGAACACATATGGAGTGGGCTTTGGGGAAAAGAAACCAAGCCTGTCTGGAACAGCTTTCCAGGGACAGGGGCTCCCACTGCTGCCTGTGTGGTGCTGCTGACCTCTTGGTTTCCTGTGCAGTTCTAGAGAGCCCTTTCGACTGTCACAACAAGTCCTGCCCTGAGAATTTCTGCTACAACGAGGGCTACTGCTACATCTCCCAGGCGCTAAACTGCCAACCCACCTGCACCTGCCTCCCAGCCTTCACAGACGCCCACTGCTTCTTGGCTGGAAACAATTTCACTCCAAGCATTGTTGAAGGTACAACCAGGTACCCCCCTCACCCGCACCCAACTCCACCTCCACACTTCCCTCACCCTGGTGGGGAGTAGGGGGCACAATGGTGGAGAACTCTGGGAGCCAAGGTTAGGTTTCTCAAACTCGCAGTGCAGAGCTCCAAGTCTTTCTCAGGTGATGGTACATTGTAGGCCTTGGGAGCAAGCGGGAGAAGCTGTCACCCATGAACCATGGGCCTGAGGGTCTGTGAGGAAAAACTCAAGGCAATCTTGTGACTCAAGGACACAAGAGTCAGGGAGCCCTGGCCATAATCAAATGAGCACTGGGGTGAGGGTCAGCACACTCGGCCACCCGTCCTGATTCCCTGGGGTCCTCTGTCACTAGAGAATGGGGCCCTTTCTCTGGGCTGGCCCAATGGCATCCGTGGGTAAGTCTGGGTAAACAGTGAGGTAATTATGAATCTGCTTCTCCCATCTCCAGAGCTTCCTTTAAGAGTCATCCGGCTCTTTCTCATTGAGGAAGAAAATGCCACCAAAGAAGAGGTCAACGCCTCGGTCAGTGCTATAGGCCTGCTCTGGGTGGGGGAGCAGGTCTGGCAGGTTCAGGGTCAAGTCTTAGCCATTACTTGCATGTTTGGCATCTTGTCATCCATCTAGATTCAATTGTCAGAGGAGAGCAGAGCCTCCTGCCTCAGGGAAGGCAGAGGGTGAGTAAAGCAGGAAGTCCTAGAACAGAGACCTCAGAGGAGGTTAGAATGATCGGCTCACCAGAAGCAGAATCTAGGGTGACCAAGTCACCTCAGCCTCTTCTGAGCTTCTTTCTCTGAAGACTTACATTTGGGTATTTTATGGAAGAAACACAAAAAGGCATTTCACCTCCAGGAAACCTTTCCTGACTTCCTAAAGAGAACTGGGGACTCCCTCTTCTTGGCTCCTGCCCTTGTCCATACCTCAGTCACAGACAAAGCAGCACAGCAGTTGAATTTTTGAGCCTCTAGAATTCTACATACCTGAATACAAATCCCTGCCATACCACTCACTAGAGCAGTGTGATATTAGACAAATTATTTTTATCTCATCTGTAAAAATAGATAATAATAGTACCTGTGTCAATAGGTTGTCAAGGTATAAATGATAATATATGTAAAGTACTTAGCACAGTACCTGAAACACAGTAAGTGTTCAAAAATTACTATCACCACCACCACCACCACCACTGCTACTGCTTCTATAGCCCTGCACACCCTGGTAAAATTTGTTGACATTTGTCTACTGAACCAGACTATGGGTCTTTGAGTATAGACTATTTCCAAATCACCTTGATATCCCCAGCACCTGACCATCCTTAGGTCTGACTAAACATGATCAATGTTCAATAAACATTTGGGGAGAGAATCGTGGATGAGGTAAGGATCAGAGGCAAAGTAGGAACCATTCATTCTAGATAGTCATAGGAAGCAGTGGCAGGGGCCAGGGATGTAAATGACAAACATTAATTAAGCAGAGACCCAAGCCAATCACGGGCCTAGGCTAGGACATGGGGTTGAACAGATGGGGGAGGAAAGTTCTGGGGACCAAGGGCTCACATTCAAAGAAGGAAACAGATAGGGATAAATATATGCATTAAAGGAGGGGTCTCCTCTTTGGACTGGGCCTCCCCTCCATTACCTCCCTCCACCCCCAATCCCCATCCTCTGCCCTAGGTGGCCTACACACTGGGGAACCTGGACGTCCGGGCCTTTCTCCGGAACAGTGAAGTTGAAAAAACGTAAGTGGACAGCCCCCCCTGGCCCCCGTGTCCTCTCTCCCTCACTCCTTCACTCCTCGCTGTGTCCCTCCCACGCAGCGAGCCTCTGATGTGAAGCCCGTGTACGCTGCTTGTTTAGCCCTGAACCACCACGGGTTCTTGTCCCGTGAAGCTGTAAAAAGGAATTTGTAGACAAATAAACTGAAAGAAGCAAATCTTTACTTAGAGTAAAGAAAAGTTGATTTAGAGGAAAAAGAACAAAAGTAAAGGCTGCAAAGCAGCAATGCCAAGGAGGGACAAAAGACGCCATGTGCCTAAGGGATATTTAAACCTTTTTTCTCTATTCTGAAATCTCGTCATCCTCTTGGTGGCTGGCTCTCTGTCAGTGTCTGTACTTGTCTGGGCAGCTGTGTCCAGCTTTACAGCTCTTAGTCTTTCTCTCACTACCCTTGTCCAGGTTCACTTAACATTTACTCTCCTTGTTAACCTTAAAATTTACTGTCCTCATTAGCCCTCCTGGATTTCTCTGCCTTATCTTAGAAACTTCTTTAATTCTCCCAAAGTTCCTGCCTGCACCGTCCCTGAAGCTGCCCACTTAACCCTAACTTGTCCTAGGACTCGTATGGGGAGCTTTCAGCACTGGGCAGTCACCTCAGAATTCCAGTACCGCCCTCGGGGCCCTGTCATCCACTTCCTAAACCACCAGCTGCTGGAAGCTGTGGTGGAGGCCTTCTTGCTCCAGGACCGGTGGAAGAGATGGAAGAGAAGCGAGGAGCCCAGGAACAACGTGATCTTCTACCCCATCTCCACTAGACAAGTATTCAGTCTGGAGGCTTGTGAGTCACTATTTGGGGTGGGGGGACAGTTACAGGAATAACTGGGGGGAGGAGAAAAGTGGAGAGAGGCTGTCACAGATCTTTAACCCACACAAACCCCTGGCAGAAAAGTGTCCTACACAGAGCCATGACAAACACGAAGCAAGTTAATTTAGAGTTTTGTGTTTGTTTGCAATCTTTGAAAGACATTTTACCTACCAGCTTTCTAGATTGAAAACGGGAACACAAACTCCTTCCTGATGAATCTCCGTGGGTGCAGTCTCAGAGAGCAGCTACTCCAGCAGCTGCAGCTTGAAGTGTTCCTCTTTCCATAGACCTGAGGATGATTTCCCTAAAATGTCATTGCTGGAGGATATGAAATTAAACACTGTAAACCTGACCCAGGGCAGAGCTGTCCTTTCCCAAAAGGGGGGGGGGTGGTCTGTCACCCTGTGAGAAAGCCATTCCCCAATCCAGGCCTCCACAACCCAGAAAAACAGATGGGACTTCTGCGATTGACTTGAACAAATCCCAAAATGAGAATGAGATAAATTGGCAAGCTTGTCAGAGAGGGAGAGGAAGCGCTCACCCTATTTTCAGGGAAAAAGCTGAGAGCTGGTCAGTGACCATTCCAAACCCAACAGAAACTGTTTACTTGGGTCCAGAACCAAGCAAAATTATTCTAGAATCCAGGCTAGCCACCTCCCTCCTGGGGGCAACAACATGAAATCCTCAAACTTACTGTGTGCATGTGTGGTAGGGGATGGGTTTAGGGGTAAGGGGACAACGACCCCAAACTTGACTATGGCTTTTGTTAAAGAAAACAAACAAGTGAAGTCCCACTTCTATCATACAACATGCTGGTTGTATAGACTTAAGAACACAAATTAACAAAAAGAAGAGAAAAAGTAACCACCCATAATCCCAACCCTCAGAGACAAGTCCACGTTGCACATTTCCTTCTGAATTTTCTTATATGAATAGAAACCTTCACACATATCAATATACATATACACACATATATATACATATATACTTATGTATAAAAGGATCATATCACACCTAGTGCTTGATAACTTCATTACATAAATGATTGTGAACATACTGCCTTGTATATTGTGCACAGACTCCCATCAGATCCATTGCTTTATATGACTGAATATAGTGTGATATAATATACTTTAGATAGAGGCCTATGCTAACAGCTGCCATGTATTGAGCGCTTACTGTGTGTCAGCCTTGGACTGAATATTCTGCATCTTTTACCTCATTTTTAGTCCACAGCAAAGTAGCTACTGTTATTACTGTTTCCTTTTTATTTATTTATTTTTTAAAAGATTTTTTTTTTTTTATTTATTTATACAAGTACTGGGTACAGTCAGAAGCGCAGGAGGGTGAGACAGTTCACCAGAGCCAGAGCGGGGAGCAGAGCAGGCAGAAGGACTGAAGTACACTGCTGAGGGGAGCAGTGGGCAGCAGGAGAGGTCCGCGCGCCATGTGGGACCCTCCTCCGGTGGCCGGGGAGCAGCCGGGGATCGAACCGGCGCTGCAGAGGCTGCGGGCAGCTTCGCAACCCAGCACTCAACAGCTGTGCCACTGGGGAGGCCCTAGTGTTTCCTTTTTAAAGATAAGGAAACCCGAGCTGAAAGAGTTAAGAGATTTCCCTCAAATTGCACAACTAGTTGGTAACAAAGTTTGAATTTCAACTCAGAACTGGCTGACTTCAAAACATAGTAAATCATGTGTAAATTATATGCTACAGGAATGTCTTTACCAATGTGGTTTCCACGCCCTTGTGCTTATTTAACAAACCCCTCCTGTTAAACATTGCTACGCCTATAAACTGTGCTGCCCCAGACATCCAAATATTTCTCAGGAAAAACACCTAAGATTGGAATTCTTGATCCAAAAAGTATGCAGTTGGCATTCATCTATCGATTTCCTTGTTATCCCGGTCCTCCCTGACAGGGAATGTGAGCTTTCTGGAGACTCGCTTGAGCTGCAATGGTTACAAGGGTTACCACCTGCTCTACAGCCCCCAGGATGGTTTTACCTGTGTGTCCCCGTGCAGTCAGGGCTACTGCGAGCATGGAGGCCGGTGCCAGCACCTGATCGAAGGGCCCGAGTGCAGGTGAGTGGACGGAGCAACAGGAGGCGAGAGCAGCACCAAGTTGGTAAAGATATAGCTAGGGGTCCAGGGACGCCATTAGAGCTCATGCTGGCTGACAATTCACAGAGCTCCCTTTGTGACTGAGAGAGTGTGGAATCAGAAAAAAAGAGAGTGGGGAAGAAGATTTCTGAGTTCTTACTCTCTGTCAAGAATAAATGTCCTGTATTACCTCTGAAAATCAAACTAGCCACCAGGTGGGTATGATGATGATTTTAAAGATGAGAAATCTAAAAACTTAGAGATGATAAAGAACCTGTCCAAGGTACCCAGTAAGCTAGGTGGCAGGATGTGCTTTCCAAAGCCAAAGTCTCCCATCTGATAGTGCTTCTGGAGTAGACACCCTGCTGTCTCCCCGTGGAGAAGGAATTCACTGTGTCCAGGCCCAGCCCCCTCCTCCTTCAAAGTACTCATTCAGAGAGGCCTTCTGGAACTGGTGCCCTGTATCCTCTTGCTTCATCAAGTCTGAGTTCCCATGAGGAAGTGCACTAAGTCAGCAGGTCTTTTAAGGAGACAAAGGCAGCACTGCTTCAACCCTGCCCCACCCTCGCCTCTATTGCAATTACGGATGGGCCAGCCCCTTCCCCTCCCTTATTAAAGGTGTGACAAGGCTGGGGTTAAGACTTCAGTCCTGCCCTACATTTTGTGGGGTAGTTAACTCAAAGTGAGTTTACGGTAAGTGAGTTCAACCCTTTGCGTCCTCCTGTTGCTCAGTGGCCACACTTTAGCTAGGCCTCAAGGCTGTCCATCTCTGTCCTTGGAGGGGAGCCCAGCCTATTGTGGAGAACCATCTCTGGTCCAGCCGGCAAGGAGGAGTGAGGAGGCTGAGCGCTGCCTCCCAGCTCCTGACTATGTTCCCTCTCCCCGCAGCTGTGTGCCCTTCTCCATCTACACCCCCTGGGGAGAGCGCTGTGAGCGGCTGAGCATAAAACATGGAGCCTTCTTCGGGATCCTCTTTGGAGCCCTGGGGACCGTCTTGCTGCTGGGGACTGTGGTGTTTGTGGTCCTGCATTACTGGGGCTGCCCCAGGACCCGGTACTCCTACCCCCTGGACATGGCAAGTTGAGGCCTCCCCACCAAGGGGCAGTTGTGGCCTGAGATACCTCAAGACCCACCCTAAACTTACCCACACACGTCTAGGCATTGCTTTGGAGAGACTGGAAAAGAGAAAGTGACTGAAGGCGAATCAGGATTTTTCAAGTTTGAATAATGGGAGTGAATAATAAAAGGGCAAGAACATACCTTGTCAGTAGACACTGGGGCAGAGAGGATAAGGCCATAAAGACCTATAGCTTAAATGGGTGGATTCTTACACAGACATTGTGTAAGAATGGACATTGACCCACACACAACACAAATACACACACACCAGAGTTAATAACAGGGGGTGGCTTTAAGTTAAAATAGACTTACATACAAAATTCTCCAGTTTACTTCTAATTAAAGTTTATTTAAATAAAATCCCTTTTATCATTTGTGTTTCGAAAACCATGGATTTCATGGTTGATTTTCCTCTGGTGACTGAAGGGCTAAGAATGTGGGGTGGAGATTAAATGTTGGGCACTTGGTGGAGGAGCAGAGGGGGTTGGACACAGTCCTGCTTCAGCCCTCTTACTCCCTGTGGGGAAGCCCCAGTTGTTCTAGGGTAGACTTGGATTCTTGTGTCACTCTCCACATTGCTTCTTCCCCTCCCCCACAACACATGCCAAGGCTTTCCCTCTGAGGAGAACAGAGATATTCCCATAGGGGATATCCAAGACTCTCTAAGGACCCCTCCCTATGTTGCTGGTCTCTGTCCATCACTTTCAAGAGGATAAATGTATTGTGTCTTCCCTGGAGGAGGGATTCAATTATTTCAGCTCCTTTTCCAGGAACCAACTAGAGGAGCATGCCACCATGCCATCCTTAGACCATGGGCAGCCAATCCTGATACACTTTCTCTGTCTCTACCTGGGTCCTAGGTAGAGTCTTCTGGGCTTCTCCACCAGTCATCCCTCAGCCACATTGTCTGTTTGTTCCAGAAATGTAATCAGCTTCCATGTCATCCTCTCTCAGCCGGCAGGACTTTACATCTATCTGACCCACAACTCCTGTGTCTAAAGCACCTCAGTTCCAAATCTATGCAGAAAGCTGGTAACTGTCTTGGTCCGAAATACCAGATCCTCAAAGCAAGACTCTAATGGGTTCAGCTTGCATCAGTTATCTATTGCTGGTCCAATCAAGTGTGGCCATAGAGCAGGAAAGGAAGTCACATGTTATAAACCTGGTGCTCAAGCTAAGAAATATGATCTTTGATCTGAGCAGAGGGTCCCAACTGTCTGCTTTACATCGAGATTGACTTTTTCCAGCAGGTGAAGCCTCTCCATATGTACAAGGTTCATAGGCCCCAAAATGTAATCAAGCCTCCACATAAAACCACATTCTTTTCTCTTTTCTTTTTAAATTTATTTATTTATGTATATTTTACATCATTGTTCATTTTTGTACAATATTTGCTTTCTCCTTTCAGGTGTAGTCCCCTCCGTAAAATCCCCACCACCAATTCACCCGTGCACCATCACCATAGTCCCTTGTGCTCTTCCCTCCCCTGTTTTTGAGCCCTCTCCCTTCCCCCCCCCCCCCCCCCGCAGAATGTCTCTGATTTATGGTTGCTTGTTGATTTTGGCTTTTTTTTATTATTATTATTTTTTTTCCTAATCCCTTATTTGATTCCCCTATATTTCTCCTATAAGTGACCCATCTGATATTTTTTCTTTTTCCTTCTAGCTTATTTCACTGAGCATAATCCCTTCCAGCTCCATCCATGTTGCTGAGAATGGCATGAGTTTATCTTTTTTGAATGCTGAGTAATATTCCATGATGTATATGTACCACATCTTCTTGATCCAGTCATCTATTTTGGGGTATTTGGGTTGTTTCCATAGCTTATCTATTATAAATAGTGCTGCAATAAACATAGGGGTGCATGCATCCTTTTGAATTAATGTTTTTGTGTCCTGTGGGTAGATTCTTAAGAGTGGAATTGGTAGGTCATATGGTAGCTCCATTTTTAGTAGTTTGAGGAACCTCCACACAGCTTTCCATAGTGGTTAGATCAGTTTGGATTCCCACCAGCTGTGTAGAAGATTCCTTGCCAACACTTGTTGCCAGATTTTTTTTTTAATTTATTTTTTTTTAAGATTTATTTATTTATGCATACAATACTTGGGGTACAGGCCAGAGGTGCAGGAGGTAAGAGGATTCACCAGAGACAGAGTGGGGAACAGAACAGGCAGACTGACTGGAATACACTGCTGAGGGGAGCAGCGGGCGAGACAGGAGAGGTCTGCTGTGCCATGTGGGCAGCTCCCTGGTGGGGGATCGAACTCATGCCGTAGTGACTGCAGATAGACTTGTAGGTTGCATCTTAACCCCTTGCGCCACCCAGGAAGGCCCTGCTAGTTTTTTTTAATATGTGCCATTCTTACTGGTGTAAGGTGGTATCTCATTGTAAAATCACTTTTTTAAAATAAATTTTTATTGAGATAACATTGTGTTATAACATTGTAAGTTTCCCATGTTCAGCAATATAATTTGACATCTGTATACACTACATCATGACATCACCAAAAGTGTAGTTTTGACCCCTTTGATCCATTTCAGCCATACCCCAAACCCCTTTCCCTTGCTACCACCCATCTCTTCTCTGTATCTTAGTTTTTCATTTTGTTAGTTCCTTTGCTTTGTTTCTTTGTATTTTACCAATTAATTAAATCAAATTAAATCATTTGTGTGTCTCTTATTTATTTCACTTAACATAATCTCCTCAAGGTCTCTCCATGTTGTCAATGGCAAGATTTTATCTTTTTTAAACTGATTCCTTTATCTACCACATATATACAGCATATTGTGTGTGTGTGTCTACCACATCTTCATTCATTCATATGCCAATGGACATTTAGATTGCTTTAATATCTTGGCTATTGTAAATAATGCAGCAATGGGCATAGGGGTGCATGTATATTTTCAAATTATTGTTTTCATATTCTTTGGACAAGTACCCAAAAGTGAAATTACTGCATCACATGGTAACTCTATTAATTTTTTGAGAAATTTGTATAGTGTTTTCCATAGTGACAATTTACATTCCCATTAACAGTATATGAAGAAGGTTTCCTTTCCAACACATCTTTGCTTTTTCTTGTCTTTTTGATAATAACCATTAGAATAGGAGTGAGGTGATATCTGATGTGGTTTTGATTTGCAGCCTAAAAGGATGTACATTTTTAACTCTTTAGATAAATCACCAAAATATCCTTCAAAAAGGTTGTACCTATTTTGTGCACAGTAGCAGTATTTAAGGGTACTCTTTTTCTCACAACTTCATTAATATGAATATTATAATTTTTATAAATCCTTACCTATTTGGCACACAATAGGTAATATATCACATATTAATTAACCTTTTCTTGTAAGTAAAGTCATATTTTCAATTTCGTGGTAAAGAGGCACTTATATTCCTTGTTTTGTGAATTGCTTGTCTTGGACATTTGTTCACTCTTGAACAGGTATGTTTGCCTTTTATTGCTTTATAAGAGCTCTTTGTATCTTAAGACGCTCTGGTTTTGCCCTATATGGTAGTATAGAGTGGTTCTTTCAGTTTATTATTTCTATGCATGCCTAATCTCCCCTATAAACTTTATTCTCCATGGGAATAGACTTCTCTGAATCCCCATGATACCCAAAATAGTCTCTTTCATTGTAGATACTGAAGAAATATGCTGGGATGACAGTTTGATTTTTGTTTAATCCACTTTCTAAAATTCATTCTGTTCCACCCCGCCAGAGGAAGGGAAGTCAATTGAATATACATATTCCCCTTAGAGCAATATCCAAGTTGTTTTGGTGATTCCTTCACACATTTAACAAATATTTATTGAGCACCTTTTATGTTCCAGGTATTGTCCTCAGTGGCTGGGATACTATAGTGAGAAAATTCTTTCATTCTAGCTGAGGGAGACAGATAATGAAGACAAATAAACAAGGTACAAAAAAAATATGTTTTTGAATAAAATATGTTAGGCTGTGGTCAGTGTAATGAAGAAAATCAAAGAAGAGGATGCTCAGGTAGACTTTGCTGAGAAGATAGGGGAGGTGGGGGCGTTAGCCTGGTGGATATCTGAAGGAGAAGCATTCTAAGCAGACAGAGCAACATATGCCATGGCCCTAAGGCAGAAACAGGCAAAAAACAGTAGGGAGGTCAGTGTGACCAGGATGCAGCGAGCAAGTTAGAGAGCCTGGTGGGGCAGGTGCATGTTAGCTTTGCAGATCATTGTAGGAATTTTGCTTTTTCTCTGAATCAAATGGGAAGGTTTGGAGCAAAGGAATGTCATGGTCTGCCCGAGGTTGTAAAATCAACAGCTCTAGCTGACCTGTTGGGACTAGACTAGGGCTAGGAGGCAATGCTGAAAACAGGAAGATGGGCTAGGAGGATATTCTTAATCCTCATGAGAGATGACGACAGCTTGGACCAGGATGAGAGCAGTGGAGATGGTGAGGAGAGGGAAGATTCTGGGCAGATTTTGACAGCAGTAGAGCCAACAAATTTCCCGATGAATTGGATGTTAAATGTGAAAAAAAATATAGAGGGATAAAGAAAGTTTCCAAGGATTTTAGCTTAAGCATTAAAGAATTTAACTGTCATTAACTGAGGAAGATGCAGGCAAAGCAGGTTTAAGGGAAAGATCATGATTTTGATTGCGGAAATGATGAATGCAATGTATCTCTAGAAATCAAGCGAAGAGATTGAATATATACATTAATAATAGTTGTATTTACACGGTATGACTCAAGAACTGTTTTTCTTTCTCTTCCTTTCTTTTCCCATTTCTTAAATTTTTTCTTGATCTTTTTGAATTTTTCAAAACTTTTTTTCTCAGCTCCATGTCCTCCCATTCACAATACAGTCCAGACCAGGGGCCTGGACTGGGGTGTATGTGGGGTGGTTTTACTTTGCCTCCTCTTTCTATACAGTCAGCATAAAGAACAGAGCCTGTGGTAAGCACTAACAGGCCTATTTTTCAAATTTTTAAAATCATAGGCAAGTTTTACTTTTATAGAAAAAAAATGTTTAATTTTTAAAAAATTATATACTATGAGTTATGCAGTAGGAATAATTATTACAGACTTTCTTTTAAAACTTCTTGTGTCATAATTTGAAATTCAAGTGAATTCAACAAACATTCTCTGTGATCCTGCCACAGGCCCAGCGCTCTGCTAGCTTTAGAGGCAATTGAGATAAACTAACATGGTCCCTGTTCTGAAGGAGCTCACAGTTCAATAGGCTCCAGGCCAGTCTCAGTAAATGGAGTCATCAAGGTCCAAACCAAAAACTGGGAGTATGAAGGGAGGAAGCAGTGGTGAGGTTGCACAAAATTTCTCCTTCATAAAAATGTCACAAAACATACAGTTCAGATAACTTCTGAGCCACACAGACATCAATTTTGATGTAGGATGGAAGCACACAGCAGATGACAAATGGGTGATCAGGTCACTTTTTATTGAAACGTTTGCCAAAGAAAATCCAAGGACACTTGCAGAACCAAGGAAGACCCTCTCCTAATACATGCCCCCCCAGCAGACGTGAACCAGAGTCCCACTGCCATGTCTGGAGTAAGGGGCTCAGAGCACTTGCCTCTGTGGGAAACCTCCAGGGACATTTTCCTGCAGTCACGAAGCTCCAGTTGTGGTGGGGGCCCAAGCCATAGGCAGCACTGCCCCTTTCTGCACAGGCCATGCCTGACTGCTGCTGAGGTGCTCTAGTCCCTTCTGACACGCAGCAGGGAGACTTGGGTGGGAGGCACATGGGAGTACAGTTCGCGAAGGAGCTAGAGGGCAAAGGAAGCAGTTGGCATTTCTAGCCCATCTGGACCATGAGCTCACATGCCAAGGGCAGGAAGCGACAGTGGGAAAGAACTATGAGGAGGGCAGTGACACTTCCTGAGACCCCAGCAGCTGGGCACACACTAGGTGCTTCATGCACACTATGTCTCCGTTTAAGCCTCATAGCAACATTATAAAGCAGGTAGTATTCTATTCATTTTATGAGGGAGGAAACTGATAGGAATTAACTTACCAAGGGCACATAGTGAGGAGCTAGAATTCACACAGAACTATCTGACTCCTTAGCTCATTGTTTGATCCCCGAGCCTTCTACCAGTGGGCAACTCTCAACAAGAACTAACTCAAGTACCCCTATAATCTGGCTCCTGCACCTCAGCTCCTGACCTGCTCCTGAACTGTCTATATAGTTTCAAGTTTAGGGCTCAGATCTGGCACAACCCTAGAGTCCCTCTTCCATCGGATTTATGCTTTCTTCTTTTATTATCATACATAATGAGCATTTGTCAATTATTTGGCTGATCCATTCAAACCCCCTTTGTCATGTTCCAGGAACTCCTTATTATGGGAGTCCTAATGGGCTTCCAGTAAGAGAACTTCACAGACCCAGATATTTCCACTTCCCATGTATGGCAGCATTATGTGGGCACAAGAGCCAGGCTGAAATGACCCATCCTAATCTTCTGATGAGTCACACCATCCCCCAAAGCCCAGAATTCTATTCCTGGAAGCTTGGGCCAGTGATGTGGACTTTAGAAGAATTTTCCCAACTAGTTGTACAAGTATATCCTGATCTTGGTTCTCATCTAGACCATACATCTACATGTTTATTTGTTTGTTTTTGGCCCAGCATTTTATTTCCTTTGAGGCCCATTCTATATGGTCCAGATTGGGCTGGTCATGCCAATAAAGGCAGACCTTCCTTGGTATGCTATACAGATCTTGGGGGAGGAAGTTCCTTGTGAATATAGGGCCATCACAACCACCCTTCCTTACAGATGCACAGCAACTTTGACAAATGAAAGGTGTAGAGCTAAGCAGGGAGAGAAAGAGAAAATCCTGATGCTCATGTTTGAGCTGCTGGGTCCAGACATAACTGGAACTAGAGAACCACTTCTAGTTTCTTAGCTTATCCCTTGCCTTTTCTGTGTAAGCTACTCTGAGTTGATCTGTCCACTTGCAGCCAAAAACCCTGCCTACCTGACAATCAATATCATTGGCTCAAGGGCCAGAAAGCCTGCACTTTCTAGAGACAGAGGAAATTGTAAGTGAGGGAAAAATATTTTTTTGAAACATAGTATAAAAGGGGACTGGGAACTCAAAATTCAGGTAAAATAGACAGAAGGAAAACCAGGAAGGGATCCTTAGATTTAGCTTCTGATTTCCCCAAGAAACAGACTGCTCCCAGGGGTAGCAGTTGCTCTTCTGTATCCTGTAGATCTTCCCCAGTGTCCCCAGGAATCTCTCTATTTCCCTTGAGAAAGTGCCCACTCACCTGCTGCATCAGCCTCTCTGCCACTTGGGGGTCAGTGAGGTCTTCTGGGGAGGCCACATTCAGCCGCAGGAGGAGGATGCCTCCATCATCCCCTGCAAGTTGAAAACAGTAGGAAGATGAAATATGGTTAAATCAATTCAGGAATCAAGATGTGCCCTGAACTACCAGCCTCTTTCTCCCCGCCACAGATATGTAGACATTGCCATGTGTTCACATGGGATCTCACACTTACTCACCATAAAGACAAATGAGGATAACTGGGCTCATTGTAGTGTCTTCCCAGCAAGTGTGACGGGAAGTTAACTAAGGACACCAAGAAAACAAATCATTTAATTGGCATCTGCCGTCTGGTTCCTGGAGGCTGTCCTTCCCAAGACATAATTGTTTGACTCTCTTTTGTGCGCTGCTCGTATCCTGCCACTGCTTTCTCTTTTGCATAAGCTTTCCTGAGTTGCTTTCAGATATCTGCAACCAACTAATTGACATATTAATCTTCTCACCCTGAAGAACCCATGATCGTATCAGCCCTTCCTTGAACAGTCTTCCTCTCACAAAAAAAATCCTCTAATTTGTGTTCCACCTACCCATACCCAGCCAGTCCCTCAAGACCCAAAACTTTTCAGTAATTATCTGTGCCCTCCTTGATCTCCCTCTCTGGTTTTCTTTAACATCTAACAAACCATTGAACTTACCTTTCCTTTATAACATAGTGCCTTGTTCCCCCCCAAAAAAAAGAAAGAAAAAAATCTACCCTACAGGAAATAATATGCATGTGAGAAATGTACTATTTACTACAGTGTTTTTCATAACAAAATACTGGAAACCACTTAAATATTCATCCATAGAAGACTGGTTAAATATATTTTGGTAAAACAAAAATGAAATGCCATGAGCCATAAAAAAAATGAAAAAAACAAACAGAAATCTGTTTTATCATATGTCCCACTTGCATAAAAGAACAGGATGAAAGATATTTTCTTATATATATCATACTTACATGCATTATATAATAATAATTATATATTACATATCATATATAATATATAATACTTGATAGCTATAATATATTATAGCTATAATATATTATAATATATATTTTATATATAATATATTATGTTATAGTATATATAATATAATATGTACAAGCTACATTATATAATATATAAGCTATAATATATATTATATATCATATATAATTTACATATATATTTCCATATACATGTTCCATATCCAGAAGAGGCTTCAAAAGAAAGGGATACTATTGGTTATATGTGGAGGAAACCTGGGTAGCTGGGGACAGTAGAGGGAGAAAGACATTTTATGGTGTACCCTTTGTACCTATTGCATTTAAATCATGTGAATCTATTATCTAACCAATAAATAATAAATGAAAGGGAGGACACAATGGAAAAAGACTGTGGGTTCCTGGATGGGGTGGTGGGGTGGTAACATACATCTGACAGGGTGTGAACCTGTTCCCCTAAATCATAAATAGTGTTGTAAACCAATGCTACCTCAATAATAGTGTTGTAAACCAATGCTACCTCAATAAAGGGTGGTAATAATAATAATAATTACTAAACTGAATTAAAAATAAAATTACTCAACTGAATTAAAAACTGAAATAAAAAATAAAGGCCCACTAGGAAGACTATGAGTTTTTGCATCAAACAGACTTCCATTTGAATACCACTAGTCTCTCTTAAGATAATTTAGTTACCGTCTACACCTATTTCCTACCTCTCAGATGCAGTAATAATACCCACCTTATATGGTTGTTTTGAAGGTATAATCAGAAGAGATATCATGTGTAAAGCTCATGCAACCCACCTGGCATTAGAGAACATTCAACTGGTGCCAGTGTGTACCGGTGTGAAAGATTTGTTATCACCCCTCCTCAGAATAAGATAATCAATCAGGTCTCTCTCAGGTCCTGGCTTCCAAGATGGCCAACAATAGACCATGGGAGCAATGGGGGCCTCCTGGTGGCGCAGGGGTTAAAGCCTCAGTGCTGTCAAGCTATCAAGCTATCTCCAGCCACTGCGGCATGAGTTTGATCCCCAGACAGGGAGCTGACCCGTATGGTGCATCAGACCTCTCCTGTCTTGCCTGCTGCCCCCCTCAGCAGTGTATTTCAGTGGATCTGCCTGTTCTGCTCCCCACTCTGCCTCTGGTGAATCCTCTCACACCCCGCCCCTCTGGCCTGCACCCCAGTTCTTGTATGCATAGGTAAATAAAAAATAAATCTTTTTTTTTTTTAAAGAAGTAATGGTTGTTCCAAAGAGGGCAGCAGTTTATCGCTGTGCAGCTGTGCCCAATGTGTGCCCAAGAACAAGGCCATTAAGAAGGTTGTCATTCTAAACATGGTATTGGCCATAGCCCTCAGGACTTTTCGGAAGCAAGTCTCTTTGATGACTGCGTGCTTCCAAGCTGTATGTGAAATTACATCACTGCATGGGCCGTCATTCACAGCAGAGGAGTCAGGAACACTTCTCCTTCTTGGAAGGACTGAACACCCCAATTGAGACCTGTGGGGGCTCCCCCATGACCTCCACCAAAGTCCATGTAAGGACCTCAGTTTATAAGGACTGAAGAAAAACTGTTCCTCTGAGGAAAAAGTAAAAGGGAAATTATACTTTAAAAAATATGTATTCAGTAAGGTTGTGATTAATATTTTCACTTCTCATCCCAAAAGGGCAGGGCAAGCTAAAGTTACTACATGGATGAACACGAGGACAAAGTGACAGAAAATGGTGCGGAGTTTATATGCTGGCCAAGGAGCCTCTGATTTCACCTGAGAAGTGTCTGTTATCTCAGATTACAGCACCAGTAGCTTTAAACTCCCAAACTTTCACCCAATTTATCTTTTCAAGTAGCCACCACTCTAGCTCCAGCAGGTATATCCAGTGAACCCCCCTTTCAGAGGCCCCACATGCTGAAAGGCTGGCAACTTGAGTCACAAGCCCAAATGTTGCCCCTCTTTGTGGCTCTGACTGAACCAGAAGTTTATGAGCACAAGGGTCATGTCTTTTAAATAAAATTTGGGACCTTCTAAGACATACAGCAGTTACTCAGTTAATTTTATATGAGAGCAGTAATGGAAGGGACTTCGGAGCTCATCCATCACAACCCCCTCCAGAGACAGGTGAAGAAACTGCAGCCCAGAGAGAGAGGGACTTGTCCTAGGTCGCTGAGGTTGTTAAGGGCAGAGCCAAGATCTCAAGTCATTCCTCCAGATTTGCAGCCTCATAGTCTTTCCATACACTATCCTAATCTACTTGTTATAGATTTTGGCAAGAATCACGAGAAGATGAGGAGGTGACTCCAGAGACAGGGCTCAGAACAGACCCCCACATCTTTCCTTTCTCCCTACTCCTTAGATGTGAAACATCTTGGAGACTTCAAATCCCAAATCCCCAAAGGTCACACAGGGGGAAGCCACTTACTTGCAGTAACATCTGTGGTGCACCTCATCCAAGCACTGGTAGGTAGGATTGCTGGGGTCTTCCCCGGAGCCATGGTGTCTGTCTTTGAGGTCCCCTCTGAGCCTCTGGTCTTGGCTAAGGTGCTGTTTGTTTCTTGGCTGCCTTTGATGGTAGTCAGGTAGACATAAGGACCAGGGCTCCTTGTGCTGGGGGAGAGTCCAGCGGTGGTGCTATCTGTGGTAGAAGTCTGGGAGGGGGTGGAGTTCTTGATGGTGGCTACTTTGGAGGGGCTGTAGACTGTAGCTGAGGACTCCACAGGGGAAGCTGACCCGGCCTCTGTGGATATTGAGAACTTGCTGTGGCTTGTTGTCTCAACAGAGGGGCCTGAGGTTTCTTCCAGGTTCATGCTGCCTGTCATCAAAGTTCCACTGGGTGTGATGGTCTTGGCTGCTGTTGTTTCTCTTTCTGTGGTGCTGTTGGCAGTGAGTGGAGTCTCGACTGTGGTGTCAGATGCGGCTGACTCTGTGGTGCTGTCTATTGACGAATGTTTCACAGTGGCTGTGGTTCTGGTGCGGTATGATTTTACTTCAGTGGAATCAGACATTGCAAAAGTCTCAGGGGTGGATGGGGTCTTTCCTTTTTCTTCAGGGCTGTGATCTGTGTCTGAAGTCTCAGGGATCGCAGTTGTTTCTATCTCTATAATGCTGCAATTGATAACCTTGGTGTCGGTGATGTTATAGGCAATCAAGGCTTTAGCTGGGGCAGTGGTGTCAGGTGCCAGGGCTTGGGAGGTGGGAATGGCTGGAGCTGTGCTCTCAGGGTAGGGGCTGCTCTTCCAGGGTAGGGTCTCCGTTTCTGCCGAGGTGTAAGCCAATGTCAAGACATCAGTAGTGATCCTCTTTACCTCTTCAGAGCTGTCATCAGTGCAAAGGATGTCAAAGACATCTTCTGACAGATGGCTGCCTTTGACCATCTCAACTGTGGTCATTGCTGTTCCTGTGCCACTTGTGACTGATGTTGCCATAGAAGTGGGGATCACAACCTTGAATTTGGAAGGTGTTATTTTTGTGAGGGCCTTGGTTTCTATTGCAGGAAAAATGGTTTTGGGGTCCCTGGTCTTTGCTTCTGAAAATGTACCTGCTAGGATTAAGTTCCTAACAGACATCCGGGTGCTTATGGTTTGAGTTTCCAAAGGGGTGAGTCTTGGTGACGAGATCTCAGTGAGGTCAGTGGTCTGGAAGTCTCCCTCTGAGCTGGTGCCAATCCCTGGCGTCACAGCAAGCACCTCTATGTGGTTCACTGTCACCAAAGGGCTTGGTTGCTTGGTCCTATGGCCTGTATTGGGTAAACCGACTTTGTAAACATGTGACCCTGGTTCTAAAGCGTTTTTTTTTTGTTTTTGTTTTTGTTTTTGTTTTTGTACAAGCACTGGGTACAGTCAGAAGCGTGGGAGAGTGAGAGAATTCACCAGAGCCAGAGCGGGGAGCAGAACAGGCAGACTGACGAAGTACACTGCTGAGGGTAGCAGTGGGCAGCAGGAGAGGTCTGTGCGCCATGTGGGACCCTCGCATGACAGCCGGGGATTGAACCAGTGCTGCAGAGGCTGTGGGCAGCTTGGCAACCCAGCGCTCAACCGCTGCACCACCGGGGAGGCCCGTGACCCTGGTTCTAAACCTGCATTTCTTTATGTGTAACATGGAGCTACAGTACTTATTTCATGGTACTGTGAAGACTAAAATAAATATAAAATGTGCAACACAAGCCTGGTAGATGAGTGCATGCAGGAGGTGGTATGGTCCAGGGGTTAGGCAAGGGTGGCTCTAAACTCTGGCTTCTGCAGGCGACTTATTTAAACACAGGGAGACTCAGTCTCACAAGGGAGCAGAGTAATTAAATATTGCACCTCTTTCATAGGGTTATTATAAGGATTAAAAAGATAATGCGTGGGGATATATGGGTTATCTCTCTTTCATCCTCTCAATATTACTGTGAACCACAAAAAATAACACCTGATAATGACATACCAATGTAGGTTCATCGAGTCTAACTCCAGAGCAGGAAAATGATAATGAGGGAGGCTACGCAAGGGGGCAGGGAAAGAGTACATGGAAACTCTATTTCCCACTCAATTTCGCTATCAACCTAACACTACTTTTAAAAATGAAGTCTTGAAAGAAAGATAATGCAGGCACAGTTCCTATTGCAGATCATTACTTCTCTTCTGTCGTGAGAGCCTTGCCTATTTCAGAATTCACCTTCCCCAAGGAGTCTGTGACAGACTTTTCTCACACATAGAAAAGTACATTTTAAGGAAATTCTAAGAGGCATTAGAATCTTGTCAAGCCACATTCTTTGGCACCAGCCCAGCTGCCCTGGCCCCCTCACACTTCCCACCCCACTGACGTACACACATAGACAAACACAACGTCACCTCACAATGATGACCCTCAAAATGATGTCACTTGTGTATGGGCCACAACATCATACAGGCTTAAATGGACACATTGCCCTTTGCATATTCTTTATCAACATAGTCTGATGACTATAATTAGCTCAAGGAGAACTGCCCTCACCACTAAGGGTGACCAGTGCTGAACGTCCTCAGAGCCCTCCCAGGAGAGAAGCCCAAAGGCCCTCTTACCCACTTACCTGCAAAGCTCTTGGGGGCCCCAGGCACCCAGAAGAAGAAGAAAAGGGGCAGAGCTAGGCCCCAGAGAGAGCCCATCTTAACCGGGACTCCAGTCACCCAGCGCCCTTGGCCTCTCTCTCACTGCCAACTGTTCCTGCTTCCTCAACCCAGGGAGGAGGGGCGGTGCCTGCCTAGGTGTGACTGCGTAGCTTCCAGAATTCAGACAGGCCACCACAAACACATAGGCTGAGAGCCAGCAGGTTAGGCTGTTGCAAGCTAACCCTCCCACCCTGTTGTTCAGTGACCTCTCCTCTCTGAAGTCTGGTTTGAAGATACAGAATCATTTTCACAATTGCAAGGCCATAAGAGGTAGCTTTTCACCCTTCCCACCCACCTGCCCCCTGCCCTTGCTCCGTGCCTAGGCCTTGGCCTCTTGTGTTCAATAAAGGAATCAGAACCCCGACAGATACTCAAGCAGAGAGATGGGGTCTGGAGGAGACAGCCAGTGTGGGGCAGGACTTTGAGGCCTAACATCCTTCCATCTGCAGTGTCCTGAAATTGTGACAATGTCCTGCTCAAACCAAAACCTCATCCTCCAGTCTCATGGGAGGTACAGGGCAGGGAAGACATGAGCTGGGAGACTGAAAATGTGCCTCGGATCGCAAAAGTGAAAATTTGGTAAAGGTTTGGGGATTTGACCACAAGAAGAGGAATGAAGTTGCTCATGTATCTCCAAATGCCCTAGAGAAGACTTTTACCCTCTCAAGGTGTCAAGGACGTGAGCTGTTTTGATTACAGCCAGTGGTCAGACAAGGCTACATTCAGAGCAAGAGTTTTGTGATGAAAGCATATTTAGGGTAGAAGAAAGATTGCTGGGTTAGCATCAAGAAATCACAAAATCTCCATGTACAAAGGAACTTTATAGTGAGATCAGAAGGCCTAAGTTTGTTTCCTGCTACTTCTTTAATGGCAGCACAGAAGCTGTGTGGTCCTGGACAAGTTGTTTACCCTCTCTGAACCTCCATCAACAAGAGCTTCAAGGTCCTCCAGGCCAAGCAGTCCAAAGTTCTACCTTGGCTGTATGACTGTCTTCTAGAACTTCACCCTGCATTGGGAAAAAGGGTTCTGCTGCCAGGAGGAGGGAGTCAGGCCAGGTCAGGTGGGGAAGACTCTGAGAAGAGGCTGAGGGGGGGTCCATCTGGGACACATCCAGAACTAAGGTTTAGGGATTTGGGAGCCCAGTTCCACTATACCATTAATTGGAAGCATACTCCTGGCGGGTCAAACGTCCATCCTCCCATTCAACCTGTCCCCTTCACTTTATAACATGGGAGGGTAAATTTCCCTTTGGGGAATTTCAGGGAGAGAAAGGCGCCTAAGGCATAGCAATGACCCAAATTCTGACTGACCATGTCTACTACCATGTGATCTAGTGGAAGGCGTCCCCGGAGAAAAGAAAGAGAAATCACATCAAAATGCAGCTGCTTTCTGCCACACTCAGCCTACCTGAGCCACCTCTCTGCCCCACCCAGGCTGAGACAGGGACTTCCTCATTCCAGCAGCCAGTGACTTTATCCACAGAAGTATTCCAGGGGGCTTTTTTTTTTTTTAACTTTAATAGCATATTTTATTTAACCAATATATCCCAAATATTATCATTTCAACCTGTAATGAATATAAAATATTATTGAGATAGTTTACATTCATTTTTTTTTTAAATAATAAATTTTATTTTTATATTCCCCCATACAATTGCAAACGCCCCATTCTGACCCCAATCCCTCCCCTCCCGACCCCCACCCTCCAGGGGGCTTTTCATGCTCCCCTTCTGATTCCCTGTCTCCATTTCCATTTCCTTTTTATCATTTAAGTGATCAATATCTCAGTTCTAGCCCAGTTGTCTCTGATGAGATCTAAACAGGAAACTGCTGGGAAGGAACCCTGGCTGAATGCTAGCTTGGGTTTGCTGAATTTTGTCTGCTCCATTTTCCTCTGTATGTGGGTGAATTTCCAAGCCTGGCACATGACTGTTGGTCCTGGGGCCATAATATTCTAATCTAGAATGTTCCTAGATGTTTTTTTCCAGCCAACTTAGCTCTCACCCTAAATAAGAGTAGCGGGCTAGTTTTATTAATTTAACACATCTCTATGGAGCACCAACTATAAGCCAGACACTGTTCTAGGCACTTGGAATACATCACTAAGTAAAGCAGATCCCTGAACTCAGGTAACCAGTTTCCTAGTGAGGAGAGATTACAAACAGTAGACATAATAAATAAGTGAATTATATAGGGATGAATACTACAGAAAAAAGAAAAGAAAGAGATAAGAGGACCCTGATGTGTGTGGTGGGAGAAGGGGAGGTTGCAATATTCAATAACTTGGTGAGATTTGAGCAGTGACTCCAAGTTGGTGAGAAAATTGGTCAAGGGGATACATGCGGGGAACATTCCAGGCAGTTGAAACTGCTACAAAGGACCAGAGGCTTAAGGCAGGAACAAGTTCAAGCAACACCTCTACAGGAGATAGAACTGGGTAGGGGTGTCAGTGGGGGGAGGTAGATATAAAGGGCCTTGTTGGTCTTGGTGCTGTTACTGTGATTGTGGTGGAGCTGCCCCCAGGGAGTCTTGAGTAAAGAGAGACAGGATACTACCAGGGCTTTAGAAGGGTCACTCTGGCAGCTGTGCTCAGAATGAAGGAGGAAACTGGGAGGTGGGCTTTTGCTCTAGTCCAGGCAAGAGATGAGAAAGGCTCTGACCTTGGAGGTAGCAGAGGAGGTGGTGGGAATTGGTCATATTTTTAATATATTTTGAAAGTAAAACTGATGTGGTTTTCAAATAAAGTTGAGAGAGAGAGAAGAGGAGGAGGAGGAAGAAGAAGAGGAAGAAGAAGAGGAAGAAGAGCAAGAAGAGCAAGAGGAAGAAGAGGAAGAAGAAGAGGAAGAGGAAGAAGAGGAAGAAGAAGAAGAGAAGGAAGAAGAAGAAGAGGAAGAAGAAGATGAGGAGGAAGAAGAAGAAGAAGAGGAAGAGGAAGAAGAGGGAGAAGAGGGAGAAGCAGAAGAGGGAGAAGAGGAAGAACAACTGTGAAGTTTCAGCCTGAATAACCGGAAGGATGGAGTTGTGATCAGTGGCAATTGTACCAATTCCTACTCCCCTCAGCACACCCAGCGCGTCCTCCCTCACAACAACACCAGTGCATCTTTAGGGATGAATCTGACTCAGGACAAGGTGTCATGTAAAGCCCAGAGCACTGGCCGGCTAAAGGCCTGATAACAGAGCTGACTTGATCAGATGTCCTTGAAATATAAGATTAAAGATCTTACAGGGTGAACTTTACTGTACTCATTTATTGCTTCTAAATTTTTTGTGGAATTTTTAGCATTTTCTATGTATAATATGTCATCTGCACATAGTGACAGTTTTACTTCCTTTCCAATCTGGATACACTTTATTTCTGTTTCTTGCCTAGTTGCTCCGGCAGGACTTCTCATACTATGTTAAATGATGGTGGTGAAAGTGGGCATCCTCTCGTTCCTGACTTTGGAGGAAAAGCCTTCAATTTTTCCACATTGAGTGTGAAGTTGGCTATGGATTTGTCATATGTGGTCTTTATTGTCATTAGGTATGTTCTTTCTATGCTGTTTCATTGAGTTTTTAAATCATAAATAAATGGTGAATTTATCAAATACATCTGCATCTATTGAAATGATCATATGATTATTATATTTCATTTTGTGGATTTGATGAATCATATTGATGGATTTTCATGTGTTGAACCATTCTTGCATCCCTGGAATAAATCCCACTTGGTGATGGGGTGTGATCTTTTTAATGTATTGTTGAGTTTGGTTTGTTAGGTTTTTTTTGGTTAGTTTGTTTTTGTTTTCAGGATCTTCGCATCCATGTTCATCCAAGTAATTGGCCTGTAGTTTTCTTTTGCTCCTCCCTTCCTCCCTCCCTCCCTTCCTTTCTCCTTTCTCTTTTTTGCTGTCTTTGTCTGCTTTGGGTATCAGAATTATGGGCGCCTCATAAATGGAGTTAGGAAACATTCCTCCTTTTTTCGATTTTTTGGAAGAGTTTGAGAAGAATGAGTATTAGATTTTTGAATGTTTGCTAAAATTCACCAGAAAAGAGGCTTGGTTCTGGACTTGATGTTTTTTGAGAGGTTTTTGGCTACTGTTTCAATTTCTTTATACAAGATAGGTATGTTCAGATTTTCTTTCTTCATGGCTCATTCTTGGGAGGTCATACGATTCAAGGAATTCACCCATTTCCTCTAGGCTGCCCAATTTGTTGGCATATAGATATTCATAGTAGTCTTGTATGATCTTTTCTATTTCTGTGGTATCCATGTGTTTAATTTTAGTACATAGAATGTGCCCTCTTGCATACACTAGCAATGTAGAAGAGTTCTAGTTGTTCCACATTCTCATCAACATTTGGTGTCCTCAGTCCTTTTAATTTTAGACTTTCTGTGGATGTGGGTTTCTCATTGAGTTTAACTTGCATCACAGGGAGCCCTCTGTTTCCCAGGTGGCATGCCGTTGCCAGGGAAATGACTTTCACAGGAAAGGTATTTGGAGGATTCAGTGAGGGAGCATGGAGCCAAGTAGAAATAAAATATGCACTCACACTTGCTCATATATGCACACTCAACTAGCAAAGAACCTGTGCCAGTATAGGAACATCTTGGACACTGTCTCTTCAGTTTGAATAAACCTAACTATGGCTGGAGTAGAGTAGTGAGGTAGGAGACACAGGAAAAGGAGATGAAGTTTCTGGGCATTTGGAAAGAAAATGACAACTGAGCCAAGAGAGGCAAAGAACCCACAAGTCAGCATTTTTGGGCTCCTTTGAGACCCACAGGATGATCCCAGCTGCAGAGGCTTCATTCCACTGAGTGGAACCTGAAAAACTCTTCCTGGTAAAGAAAGGAGAGCTCAGCTACTAGAAGTATGAGTGGGGGCTCTCCCAAACAGGGCCCAGGGCTGTCTCTTCCCAGACTCAGCAGGAAGAGAAATCCACAGCTGGAAGAGTTGTTGAAGCCTATGTTCCCAAAAGCCACCAGGTGGGGCAGCTTTTATGTATCGCTTCAAG